CTTTGGAAGTATTCCAATTGGACTTCAGCTTGCAACTGAGACCATGATATAGTGATTCATTTGTGGCATTGTTAACTTTGTGATGCAGAAAGTTTTGCAATAATCAATTATCAATTTGTTTTCACAGCAAATAATTAATTACTTGGTTGCATGTACTGTTACCACATGTATTGAGGGGGATAAAATATGCCTTTTCATCCTTTTTGAATAATCTATGTCTTATCATTTTAATGCTTTCTGGTGTGAGAAGAGAGTGCTTAAAATGCATGCTGACTTTTACTTCCTACCATCACTCTAACAAGCCAGAGATTGTCAAGAGAGCCCTGCCTTAAGAGAATGGTAGGTTTTTGAGCTCACTGCATTCTGTAATAAAACAGTTCTCACAACAGTCTATAACTGTTTTAGAGATAAGTTCTAGAATTTGGTAGAAGTGTCTACTAGCTGTTGAAAAACAATGGAAAACAAAGCCATTAGAAGTCTAATAGGACTCAATTTCTAAACACCAGCGATGTTTTTAAAGCACGTCCTTTTGTTTCAGATTTGCAGACCACTTTATTATTAGAGACACAAATGCAGTTTTCATCTTCACCAAACTGACCTCCTGTTTTGACTCTCCATGTATCCGCTAGTAATTTTTCTACATCACTGCTAGTAAAGTGCTGGCAGCAATTCTTGTATTTCTCCTGTCAACCAAGCTTTATTCAAGTTTGACCTTCTCTTTGTCAGACAAGCATCACTCATCTCTTATGATGTGCTAGCTTTAATATTATCTTTCAAGCGTTATACGCAATCTCCATAGAATAAGCTTCAGCAATACAACATCCTCTGGGCTTACACAGTGTAATGTTCTGTTCTCTAGTGGCAACAATAGCTTCTGGGTGCAGCATTTATTATTTTAGCATGACTTAATTTGTGTCATTGTTTTGGCCAATCTACTTCTTTAATGTCCTGCTTCTATTCAAACCTGGTTTTCATCTTTTATTTCCCTTTCTTGGCAATAGATGCTAATTAAAATTGTCCATCTCAGACTTAAAACTACTTCTGACTGTAGGTACTTTACACATGTTATTTTCATGGAACAGCTGTATTGTTATCTAATTTCAGCAAGTATTTTGTCTGAAGGCTTTGCTTCCAGGAACAATGTAATTATCAGTCAGTTTGACATTCTTGCAGCCATTTTTCGGAATTAAATATTGAAATTGTACTTTTAGAGAATAATGAACTTTAATTCTTTTTCCTGTTTGGTGTTGTGCAATAATGCACTTTTACAAGAGTGGAAAATCAATGTTCTGATTAATTTTGATCCTAGGATTTCCTAACAGTTTAGATTTTTAGAACCTTGTTACAGTTCTTGTGCTATGACGCGAAGTGGATAACTGAATATTTGCAGTCATTAAAGAAAAGGGAGTGTATTGGGACATTGTTCTGCTGCTCAGAAAAGTGCAGAAGTGAAATAATGGCACAAGACTTCTGAAGGAGGGTTATGACTGGGGAGCAGAATCACCTGAACCTCTTTGATGGAAATACCTCTGCTGACTGATAGAGCCAGTTGTATTTCTGATGGTGTCACAAGCTATGAAAGCAAAGGTCTGTCCTGACTTCCATATCTTCATTACTAATATACCTTTCATGCTCGGAAACTCTGGCTTTTCAACATCCTTTATAGATTTGTTTTTTCCTCAGAAAATTGGGTATAGAAACTGGTTGACTTGCATGATTAATTTCTATTTTGTTTAAGAAGTTACAGGTGACAACATTGCTAATAGAATGAATAAACTGGACCACGACTGAAAAGTGAAAACAGTTGATAAAAATGTAAAGTTAAACTTTTCTCAGATTTGTTAATTTTAATTCCAAGATTGAATAGCAATTATGCAGTATTAATAAACACTTATTGGAAATTTTACTTAGCCTACATTTAAACTGGTAGGTGGATAGAAAATAACCAGGGGGCTTATTTGAGGGTACTGAAAAATGACAAGCCCCTCTCACTTCATTCCCCAGCCATACCCATGTGCAAACTATTTTCAACAGAAGCCAAGATTTAGTGGCTATGCTGAGAATTATACAGCTTTTTAATAATTGGAACTTATTAAAGGAAACTTAAAGACTAATTTTATCTAATTTCCTGCTTAGTTATCTAATTAAATGTAATTAACTGCCTTAAAAAATAAAAAGGGCTTGTGCGCACTTTCCTTTTGCCTTCAATATTTGACATTAGTAAAAATAATTTTCAGTAGTATGTAGATAGATGACCACCCTGCACTTCATCATTCTGCTACACAGGTTTGTCAATATCAGTGTGGACTGCACTGAGCTGAAACAGCAACAATTAAGGAGCAAAAGGATTTTTCCTGTAATCCTAGTAAAAAATACCTCTCTCTTATCTACACTGGCCTTTGGTATAAAGGCACAATCTGAAGGCTATTACTGGTATTTCATAATGTAATGAATTTTCAATTAAAATGTAAGGAGAAACAACTAATTAAAGTAAGAAGGGTTAGCTATAAGAACTGGTGTTTCCACTGCTCCTAGGTGCACTCATTACTTTTTTAGGTTAGTATTTTGACTGTGTGGATGACAGAAGTGAGTTACATGAAGATAAGCTCTTTTAAGTAAATCATTGTCATTCAGCAGTATAATCTGAGATGGCTAGCCTTGAATCCCTGATTTGAAAATACATTCAGTGGTCTCTTACATAATCACAGTTCATTTCTTATCTACATCAAGGAATGTTGCTGTCTGTTCTGGTAGCCTAACGACTACTAAAGTGAATTGCTTGGTGACTGTACACTTCCCAATTTGGTGTGTACACCAAAATTCCCGAGAAAAATTCCCAAAAAATTTTTCTCATACATGCAAAAAACACTTCCACAGTTCAGATTATTTCACTCATGGTGAGTTCAGAAGAAGCAGTAAACAATGAAGTTTTCAAACTAATTTTGTCTCTGAAGATGCATTCATTTGTTACAAAGAAGAGATGTTCTTAAGATCTCTTTTTTGGGAAATTTGCGTCACTTGTCCACTTTATGCAATTTCTATTGAGAAAAGAGACCATTAGATGGGTGCATTTTTCTTTGTATGTAGTCACTACCAAGAAAAGCAAGTTAAACCAAAAACATACTTTTTCTCCTTCCTAATTTTGATTGTCACTCTCCTCACTAAATTTAGGTAAAATTAGGTTCCAGTAAAGGAAATGTAGTGAAATTAGATTAAGTTGGCTGAAACCAAGAGAGGTAAAGAAAATTTTATATATCTATCTATTTCTCATACTCTGAAAAAAAATCCATTTTATGTAGAAGACAAGTCTTAACAATTTTTAATATAAATTTTTTTAAAAGTGAATTAAACATATAATTCGTGTGATTCTTTAGGCATCTGATATCAAAGTATCTGCCAACTATTTAAGAATTGCATTCCACGTAAATAATACTGAGATTTGTTCTGTGCCTTTGTATGTCAGTATTACCAATTTTGCTATGACGAGATAGTCTAAAAGAAGATGCAGGTTGCATGAAAATACTTTGGTGAGTCTTCTTAAATTACAAGTAGTGCCTTGCTTAAAACTTCGCCCAGTCCCCAGATTTTTCTTTGCCTTTTGGATCTTCCTTTTTTATAAGTTGGAGAATGGATGCCTCTGTCTCTCCTACCCTAAGTGCTAAGTGCTGTCATGACTTTCCTCTCATTGATGTCCAGATGCTGCTCCAGCCCTCTGGGATTGACTCCTCTCTACGTCTCAGAAAAGCACACCCCACCCTGTTGCCATGGCCAGCCCAGCTTACAGTCACCTATTTCCTCCTGGTTTTGCTTTCACCCTGCTTATGAAGTGCTCTAATAATTTTGGAGTGGGGAGGTTAGATCTTATGGTTGTCCAAATATTCTTTATATGCTTGAAAGAGTAGCCAGTACAATCTGATATTGTGAAACAAATCCATTTCACAAATAATTATTTTAAAAAATAGAATATTTAAAGAGTAAGCTCATTTTCATAGATCCAGTCAGTCAAATGCTTTGATCATGTAAGCTGCCTCTAAAATTGGTGGCAGAATAGAGCATTTTGGTTCCCTGATTGTCACTACTGTTCACTATGCAATCTACAGTTGCCAGTATATTTTGGATTTATGTGTTTGAATGTCATTTTTCCTGTGTATAAACTGGTTTAAAAATTAAATGTGGCACGTGTTTAAGGTGTAAATTGTTATTCTGTGATGTACGTAACCTGAGATATCTCTGAGCATCTCGAGAATATCCACACGATTTAAAGGGTCCTTGAGCACTCCCTTTGGGGAGGTGGGAAGATCAGTAAGGTGACAATTAAAGTAATGCTGTTTCATGTATGCACTGTACTCTAAAGTACAAATGTGACAAGACAATAAAAGGAGGGTAGTTTTTTCTGTCAGCAAATATTTTCTGTCTGATTTTAAATTTTCACAGTGTGCTCTTACATTAAGCAATTTAGAATGAGATATATATATATATATATATATATATATATATGAAATAACTTATACTTTCACAATTGTAGTTCTGTTAGTATTTGGGGAGTAATTTCTGTCATTTTATGAGTAGCTGTGATAGAATAGTTACAGTCCAGTAGTTGGGCTGGGGAGTGTGGTCTTTATATCCTTAGAAACACTTGCCTTTTCCTTGAAAATAGAGCTTTATTTGTTTGAACACTGAAAATATATTAAATATATATTAATTATTATTTAAAATACATTTATTAAAAATCCCATGGAGATGGGGTATAGTAGGTGAAATGTGTACTGTCCACACTGTCTTTCATAAGTGGCAGGTCTTCTTATCTACCAAGAACATCTTTTTGTTTGTTTAAAATGTAGTGACAGTGATCTCACCCCAATTATATGGCTAAGCACCAGTGTTATTTGGATTCTGTCTACATTAACAGATTAAAACACTGACAGATTTTATAGCATGAGATTTTTTTCATAGACTGGTTTTTCTAACCTATATTCCCCTTCTTCCCAATTCTCTTTCAGATAGCGGTTCTGTGGATGAAAAGGTTTAAAATCACCTATTTGCTATAGGGATCATGTATTTTGTTGATGTTTGTTTGTGACTTATTTGACCTGTTTTGTTCTGTCATTTTAGTTGTGAAATCTGCATGGTTTTTCCCAGCTTTCCACTCTTTTGTTCTCCTTTGATTGTATTGCAAATGTGTTGCATTTATATACAGGGTAACCCTCACTGTTGTGCTTACCATAACTGCCAACACAGGGGTCTGCTGCTGTCAAACATGATTCTGATTTTTGCCTCTAATTATCACCTACCCTGCATTCTCTATAGGATTTAAAGGGCAAGGGTATTTGGGAAGCAATACCTTACCTTCCCATGGGTTCTTCCACCGTGTGTCACTAAATGCTGAGTGCTATCAAAATGTTTCCCAAAGGAACAGTTAGTCTAGCTTTGGCCTGGAGCTGACCCTGCTAAACATTTTCATATGTCCTACATGTTTGATGCAGTTAAATTGTGTCCAAAACCTACTAAAAGCAACCAAGTAACTGTACTTTTTTTGATCTCTGTTAAAGGCTCGGTTGGTAAGTGCAAGTTCCTTGGATGCTTCCAAGCTTTATGCAGTCCAAGCATTTGCTGGGTAAGTAAAAGTATAATTGATAATTTTTTCATTTGTATCTGCAAATTATTCTTACAGCATTATAGTATTTTTCCTAAGATTTCTGTTTTAAGAAATTGTATTTTAAAAGGAAGGTAGTTTTATTATGTCGTCCCCTTTTAATTTTTTTTAATTCGTTATTTTCTGAGAAATTTATACAGCACTTCCAATGGTGAGGTCAGTTAGGTAACAGATTTTACCTCTTTGCAAATAAAATAAGTATCCTTTAAAGCTGTAGCTCAATTTTGTCTTTGTTCTGGTAAATGTATAGTGCTGCAATTCTAGCAATATAATATCTTTCTAGTACATGAAATTAAAAAGTCAAGGGAAAAGATCTTGCAGTGGCTGAGAGTGTATGTGGAAGAGACCTGTACATTTTGGTTTTTTGTCTCCAAATGAAGTTACTGTGCATCCAGTTCAAGGGATTCTTTCCTATTCTGAATACTTTCTTATTATTTAATCTGGAAAGGTAAAGAAATAAAAGCCTTTGGTAAAATTTATCAGTTTTATTAGTTACCTAATTAAAAGGGGTATTATCCTCTTGCTGGGGCATTCTGTAAGTACTTTTTTTACTGTAATTACAATTTATTACAAAGTGATGAGATTAAATTAATCATTTGTCTTCAGCTTTTATGTCTGAAATGCTATCCAGTTGACACTGTGAAGTTTTTCCTGTTTAGATTCCTATTTTGAGCAGAGGTGGGTGTCACTAAAAGGTAGTTATGGGATTAATTTGCTTAATATTATGCACTACATCAGATGGCTGGCAGTAGCTCAATATTAGCTCATGTTGTTAGATGAAACCTTACTTCTTTTGCTGACAAAGTTTAGACCTGTCCTTGCCTTGCTTTGCTGTTCACAGTATCTTTATTCAAGCCTCTGTTTTACTAGGCCTCCTTAAAAACAGTTATGCAATCTTCATTTAACTTCTCATTCAGGCAAAGAATGCTATCATTCCAAAGACATTTGTGGCTCTGTTTTAATCACACTTCCCACTCTACTCCTTCGTGCAAAAACTAATGCTAATTTCTAGGATCCCTCAGTCATTTTACTGCCAGCACAACTGAGTGCAGTTAGCTCTGACTCCTTCTCCCTCTTAGTCTCTCCAAAAGGTGTTGCTGTTTGAAGTGAGGGAGGAGATTTCTTCCCTCGCAATCATTGTTACCACGCTTTATCTATGCAAAAATACCCCAGCTGACTCTCTTCTGTCTCACTCTTCCCGCTCTGCCATAGCACAGTGTGGGGCCCCACCTCATGCACCGGCACCCCCAAGTCCATGGCAGGGACTGCAGCTCTCCATTCTCTGCAATGATCTTCACTTGGTTGCATGAAATGAGAGAACAGCCCATGACAAGAAAATAAAGGCAAAGACCAAAGACAGCATTTCTGGGGCTTCTCATGCAACCTCTCTGTTAAAAGGCAGAAATACCACCTTAACTGTTTTTTCCATACCAGTATCACATAATAACATCTTCATTTTATTTTTCTTCACTTTCTTAAAGATGAGGCACTTTAGAGCTCATTATTTCCATATTTTTATAAAGTGAAAGTAGGTCAGCTGGAGTTCTCATCATGTATATGGATCCTGGGTAGTACTGTTTTACTTTTTCCAGAGACTTGCTCTTGTATTCATTTACTGCTTCCTAATGAGCAGTCAGAGACTGATAATTTTACCACATGGCCTAATCCATTCTGAAATTCACTAACGATACACAGATGGTGCTGCATGCAGATGATTACTCCTTTCCTTCAGTGGCATTGTCTCTATGGTAATCAAATTTATTTTTCTTGAATTCTCTGACAAATTCAAATAGATTACTGTTAGGCAGAATATTTCCAGAAGCACCAAAAAACAGTTAATATGACAGGGTTTTTTTCCATGCCTTTAATGATAACTTTTATCAAATTATTATGATTACACTTCATCATCTTCTGTGTCAAGTTATTGTTGAGTTATAATTGGAAGTAGGGAGGAGAGTAGACAATTCAATGTATAACCTACATTAACATGAAAATTTTTCCCTTGCTATGTTATTTCTTAATGATGACTAAAAGGAGTTTAGTAAGAACCTCTCTTTTAGTCATATTTTTATGTTATAGAGCAGAATAATAGATGGAAATCCTGTTACAGATATTGCCTCCATGTGAGCACAAGAATGCCTTGTACACGATAAGTTTTATTTACTGCTGATGGAACTGCTCCTGAGTAGCAAAAAGCCCTGAGTTTGTTTCTTGGTCTCTGTACATTTACTTTTCACAACCTCAGAAATGTTATTTTATTTTTATCACACTTTTGCTGGGTTTGTAAGTATGTCTGAAAGCTGCAATTTGGGTCTATTTTGATCTTTATGTTATTGAAAAATATTCTAGTATCGCAACCCGGCACGGAAAAATGGTTGTGGGAAAATATAAAGGAATTGCATAAACAGACTCTGAATTCTTTTCCCTTTCTTAGAGAATGATGTGAGTGCATCAGAAGGAACTGAAAAATTCTTCACTGATTTTAGTTGTATCTCTTTTCGCATAATAATTGGAACAGGTGTAAATAAACTTAGGTCTTTCAGATGATAAACTCTTTGTAGTGAACACAGTTTTTATATATACAGAGATAGAAATATAAGAACTGAAAAGGTATCTGAGGCAGTGACAAAAAGGACCTTGCAGAGAAATATGTTAGGTCTTGAAAAATCTGATATCCTAGCTTCTCTGAGAATTTCCAAGTATCTGTAAATTAGAACTGACAAGGTATGTGGAGATCTTCCAAAACCCTCTGTGGAAAAAGTTCAGGAAGATAGCTTTGTTAATTGTTTGGAAGAGTCAGAGAGAATGAAGCCAATTTGTTATCCAGATCAATATGTATTCTTTTAAATTCTGTTGGTGTGTCAGCCTTTTATTCTTTGAAGTGACTCCAGGTTGTTCTTTGTTGTTGTTTCCAAGTTCTGTGTGAGATCTAACTGGGGTTTAATTGTGTGCTCAATTAAAATGCTCAGACCAGACAAGAGTAAAGTAATGATGGTCACCATGGAATTATTTTAAAATGTGACAAGTTCTGTTTTCCACAGTTGCATGGAGTTATTTGAGATATGATTATGTATTTAGCTAGATATTTTAAACTTTGTATCAAATTTAATACAACAATATTCATTGACATCAATGATGTTCAATATGTAATGTTGGGCTGCATCTCAGCTGCCAGATTTACAAGGACTTATCATGGAAATCTTCTCTTGTAATTTATAAATCAATGGTAAAAAGTTTTAGAAGGTATTAAGCAAACATTTAGCTACTCTGTTTTGGGGGAATGCCAGAAGAAAAAGCACCAAGAGCACTTGCACTGGTGTTTCAATTGGATCACATGTGCCTTTGGCTCAGAACTGCTAATTTTGATTTTTAACTGTAAATAGAAATACTATAGGCAGTTCTTAAGGATGTAGTCTTATAAGCACCATGTTTTTATTTTCTTCTTTGCCTTTTTATTTTTCAGTCGTGGACTGTATGGAATTGACAGCATGCCAGACCTACGAAGGAAGAAATCTTTTCCCATTGTTCGAGATGTGGTGAGTAACTTCTGAAACTGTTGATTCATTTGCCAGTTGTGCAGGTCTTTCTTGTAATTACTCTTGTGCATCAGAACGACAGTTTGCAACAATTTTTTATGGAAAAAAGGAGTCTTGAGAGAAAAGATTGAGGGCAGTAAAAGTCAATGAGGCAGTTGTTATAATGTACTAGATAAGTCTCAATATCTCATTGGATATTTAGGTATTACTGGTGTAATCAAATAATGCGCATTTCATGCAATAAAAAGCCACTCATTTTCACAAAGAGATGTTGTTTGGGATATTGTTTCATTTGATATATTTTGATACTGAAAGAGAGAGAAAGTTTCTTTTAAAAAGCAGCCCTTTTCACTATTAATATTTTAAACATTTATACATACTTAAGGTACAAGGTGAGCTAATCAGCATTTCTAACAGTCATTGTAAACAAGAATAATTTAAGAAAAGAAATTTCAGTGGAAAAGAATGGCAGTTCCTTTGAGATTTACTCTGACTTCCAGTCTAAACAAGATTAAGAAGAGTCTCTCTGCCTCAAAGAATTTCAAGTGCTATTCACATTTCTCTTTTTCGTTAGTATAGAATTCATAATTCAATAAAATACATATTTAGTCTCCGATGATGGTGAGCTCCCAAACCAACCTCTCACTACAAAGAAGTGATTGGGTGTTAGGTTAAGTAAATGACTGCTATTATTGTCATTAAAAGATCAGCCTTTGTCTATTATTGCTCAATGTTTTCTCAGTTTCTGTGTTCAGTTACTCTGTGGTGATCTGCCACACTGTCTGAGCAGTCAAAAAGAAAAAGCACAGCAACCATTTTAGAGTAGAATTCCTTCTGAAATTGGTGAAAAATTACACTACACAGCGTAGTAGAGCCTGCATTCATTTAAACCATCTTTTTGACAGCAGCTTCTTTACTATTAGTTGTATTAAATGAGTATACTCTATTGTCCTGCTATGATTCTTTATGCATGTTAAATGGCACTCTGCTTTGTTCTTAATTGTTGGAAGTGCTTACAGAAAGGTATAGCTCAGTATACATTAAGACATCAAAATAAATGTAAATGATCCTTTCTTATGCTTACTTATGACTGTTTCAGAAAACCAGAAATAATATTGTTAGAAAGGAGTGCTAGACTCTTTTGATGCTTTCTAAAATAAATATAATTTATTTTCTTTTTTGTGCAATGAATCTGACAAATTAATACTCTCTATAATTGCTTTCCTATCTTGTCTGGATTTTTAAGGCTATGGTAAGTACTTCTTTCTATATTTATAAGTGCTCTGAAATGATCCTACTAACTGTTACAGATTCCATTTATGTTGTGTTTTATTATGACCTTCTATTGGAAAGTTAAAATTATTTTACAACCAAGAATTCAATCATAAGGAAAGTGATGCTTTATGTGAATGTGTTCTCCTCTGCAGCATGTATACCAAAATTGATGGAAGAAGTTTATGTTAAAAAGTTGTCAGTATATTCCATCTTTCCTGACGATACAAGCACAAAGTTTAGGTCTCAAGCATGAAGCTTCCCCAGTGGTATTGGAAAGTCTTAGGAACCTAGAGAAAGAGAAGTTCAAAGTGTTCTCTACTTTTAAATTCTCTTGTATTAATCAGTTTTAGTTTTTCTTGTTTTCCTAGTCCCTCTGCACTTCCAGTTTCACTTCATTATTTTCATGCTTTCAGCATTGTATCTCAGTACAATGTTTACCAAAATTCTGTATGTTTTCTTAAGATAATATCTCTAACTCCCATTTGTTTTCATGAGTTCACATTTTAAAAAATCCAATTTTCAATGCACAAGCATAGAATATGTTGAGGTGAAAAAGACCCACAAGGATTATCAGGCCCAACTCCTGGCCCTGCACAGGATCATCAGGCTGACACTGTGACCACTGCCCTGGGAACCCAACCACCCTCTGGAGGAAGAACTTTTCCCTGATACCCAACCTAAGCCACCCCTCTGACACAACTTCAGGCCATTCCCTTGTGTCCTGTCACTGTCACCAGGGTTCAGAGATCAGTGCCTGCCCCTCCTCTTTCCCTCACTGTACCTGCAGTGGGCTCTGCCCTCAGTCTCCTCCAGGATGAACAAACCCAGTGTCCTCAGCTGCTCCTCACAGGGCTTCATCTCCAGATCCCTCACCACCTTCACTGCCCTCCTTTGGATGCTCTCCGCTTCCTAAACCACTGAAAAGTTTTTGTATGCAATTGCATTGTCAGTCTTTGCTTATTTTAGATTCAGTCATTAGAGAGGATAAGGCAGTGAAAATCCACCTGCAGGAGCAGTTCTGTTTGCTGCAGTCGTGGGTCATTATTAACTTCTGGTAGAGCATATCTGGTACAGGAGAGAAAGAGAGTGCAAGGAGAAGTGATGGTTCAAGTGCAGTAACAATACAGGGAGCATGAACAGATCTGTTTACTGTGGAGCTAGGAAAAAGATCCAGGGCACTTGGTGATGGAATTGCTGTAACTTCTGCTTTTAAAAAAAGATATTGTCTTTTAGATCCTTTAGAGCTTGAGTTGAGGTGAGAATCAGGGAGAGAAATAATAATTATAGTGGAGGTTAGAAGTTTATATCTCAGTGGCCAAATAGGTGTGGTGATCTGCCCAGCCACAGCCAAAGGTAGATCTATTTTACTGCCTTTGCTTCTGTTAATGAAGATTCTGGAAAATTCCTGTATTCAATTTAAATGTGATTTTATACTGTATAATCACTGTAATCAGGCCAGTTTCTTCTTTTGATCAATCTAGACTGTATTGCTCCCTAGCTTTATTATTTGATTATAAGAACATAAAAATAATTTGTGAATCTTTGCTGCTGTTGTAAAGCATTCTGTCAAAGTGAACACACCAGATGAAGCAACTGCTTGTTTCAGCTAAAATGATAATGCACTGAATTTTTTTTCTGTAAATGTCTCCTCAATAAAAACATTTATAGAGGCTGGAATTCAAATATCTTAATTTAAGATTCATATAAAGAAGATATTAATTTAAATTGCATGTGCCATATTCTCTAGTTTTGTATGTTGTCAGCTAAATACCTGGACTATTATGCATTAATTCTGCTATGAGTAGTCCATTAATTCTGCTATCAGTAGTCTTAACTCCCTTAATCATTGATAGGCAAGTTCAGTTACATTCCTAATAAAAATATTAATACATAAAATAGATAAATCATAACATAGTAAGTATTTGTATATTTGTGAGGGCTTTTTTAAGTCTACTAAATGGAAATCATAACAATATAATTATCTTTGAGGCTGGACAGATCATGCTTTTTTGTCTGTGCTACAGATATGAAGAAAAAGCAGATGATGACAGTTATGTCCAGTAATGATTGTGTAGTGGAGCTGAATTGTCTTTTTTTCTAAATCTTCTTTCTGGGCTCAATGCTGCAGTTTTGTTAAAGATTTCTGTTGAATATGCTCCTCTGTGCTGTTTCAGCTGTGCAAGACACAGTTTGCCTATTTCATTGTGATAGAAGACTTCTTCTCTTCTTTTTCCCCTCAACACAATTGATCATTTAACATGTAATTGTAGCTTGAATCCAATTTGCTTTTACTTACAGTTACCATTTTTCAATGTTTTTGCTACAACAACTTCTAATTATATTAATTTATTTATTTAAGCTTCTAAGGCAAATTTGGAGATAATAAATTAGACAGTGTAGATACAAGTTATTAGGTAGTCTAGAAGGCCTTGGGCATAAAGGAGACTAATTTATTTTAAATCCTGTATTAGAGAGTTTAAAAAAAATTAAAATTAAATAGACAATGGTCTGCTTTATAATCTCTTATTGTTTGGGGGTTTTGCTATGATTTTGGTTGTGACAATTTTTTTCATATATTCATAATTCAACAACACTTAAAGTCCTTATGCTCTGCAGGTCAAATTTTTACCTAAGGAAAGACATGAGGTAATATCTGGACATCAGTTTGAGAGGGTACACAAGTATAAACTACTGACAAGTTCTGTGTCCTGTTAAGGGAGAGGTGTGAAACACTGCAGGATCCTGTTGCTCTCCATATTCTTTTGATGTTCTGATGTTTTGGACTTGCTGGAAGCTCCAGCTGATGAGTTGCACTTCCCTTTCTTTCTTGCTGCTGCTTGAAAATAAAGAGGCAATAGGGGAAGAAGTTTTCTTGTTATGTTCATAACCTGTCACTTTGTTTCCCATAGATAAATCTGGCAGCTTTTTCCCCTTTCTTTTTCCAAATTGCTCGCTCCTCCTTGTTCTATTCCATACTTAAGAAGTGACACTGCTATGTGTTCCATGCTTCATGCTGTTGAATTATCACCAACTTCATTGTTTTAAAATAGAAGCATTGTATGGGCTTTCTCTTGTAGATGTAGTTTGTTCTGACAGTGATACATAAATGGAAATAATCCTTATGGGGTTTTTTTTCACTAAAATTCCTGTAAATTTAATCCATATGACTTTTAAATTTACTGCTTTGTCACAAATCCCTCTAGATATCACTCTCTTCCAACATGACAAACACTTTATTGAGAACAGCCTAATTATCTGTTTCCTATTAGGTTTTGTTATTTTATATAGGGCACTGTGCTATAATTTTCGACACATTTCTGATTAAGAAGAAAATAGTAAAGCTCCATGATGCCAAGGGCACCCCTTGGGAGAACTGGGCTTGAAGGACACATGACAGGGTCAAAATTGCTTCCCCATTTATTTTCTCTCAGGAAATAGTATCTGTTTATTGACTTACAGGGATAGCATGAAACTGCAGTTCTGCTGGCTCATGTTCTTTGGTATTGCTGGAGGACAGAACACAGCAGCAGTCATTGCCCTATATTTGAGGTTAATGTTCTTATGCCCTTTGTGCTCCTGTCCTGACAAGTTGTTCGCATTGCTCTATTGCTTGGAATGGCCAGGATTGTGCTACTGAGACCTAGAAGGGTCAAATCCCTTCCTAAGTGTAGGGGACATGGAAACTATAAACTAGCATAGTGCAGGCAAGTAAATCTACATGGCTACTTGTCAAGACTTTGAGAAAAACCTGTGCTTCAAGAGGGATCAAAAAGTTGATGCTCTTACAGTACATTGTTTTAAAACCCAGAACTCTACTGATAATGAAAATTGTTTCTTTTCCTCCTAATGATCCAAAAGCATTTTCACTTGCCGTTTTTAACTTTGATATGTGGGTCTTGAAGCGTTGTGTTTTATACAAAAAATGTGAAAAAACAAAGCATGAACACTAATCTTTCCTTGGGCTGTCAATCTCACTGGCACATACCCATGGCATTTCCCACATTCATAGAATTAAAGGACGGTCACAGAGAAGTAAACAGAATTATTTACTTAATAATAACAGAATGTAGAATCTGATAGCAAATTAATGGCATAGAGTTGGTAAATTGCTGAGTTTAAAAGAGAAAAAAAAAGGGAAGGTTCTTTGTAACAGGAAATGAATCGAATACTACTAAGCCAAGGATGATTTCTTACCCTATAATTGGTTTCACAAGATTAATAATTCTGTGTCAGTCTGCAAGTTTAATTATCATCAAGAGAAATGTATTGAAAATTGAATTAGGGAAAGTGAACATTTAAAATTAAAATTGAACAATCTTATAAATAAATAAATAGAAATCCATTTTAAATATACCAGTGTTTAAAATTATATAATTGGAAAAAATTGGAATTGTCTCTTCATCCAGAGACTAATGATGCAGTTCCTTTGCTGATGTAAGCCTAAATTGCTTCTGGCCCAGTATGCATTTCACAAAAATAAGAATGTCACATACAAAGTATCATTGGAACTTTTGCTGTGATAGTTCTGTAATTATGGACTACAGAGACCCACTTCACAGTTAGTTGAAAATCTGTATCCTCACAACAAAGGCAACAACAGACTTGTGGTTAGTGGGTGGTATAATTGATCCACACACTGCTAGACTGTGAGGGCAGCAAAGCATGACAAAGCAGATAGTGGATGACAGAACAGAGATAAGGCACAAGTGTACAAACACACTTGGAATGATTTAGAATAAGAGAAAGGAGGAATGATAACAAAACTCCAGGTGCAGTCCAGTAATATAACAGTGTTATGGTTGATATTGTGCACAGTGAAATAAATCTTATCTGTCAGGTCAAAAGGATTATTGATAGCAGAAGTGATGTTCAGATTTGAAATATTATTTGTAAAACACACAGAACTCATTCCCCCAGGGTCCTTTCTGATCATTACACTCACTAGTTAATTCTCAAGGACCCATTTAAATTTCTGGAGTATTGCAATAAAGAATATAAAATTTCTTTGTTTATTGTATATTAAAATTACTTATTTTTCAGTCCCTTTGTATGTACCATGCTAGCTCAAAGGAGTTCATCCCTACAACCAAGTAAATTGTCTTCAGAAGCAGAAGTTTTCCATATACCAGTAATATCATGTGGCCAAATGAGGACAGATTGACACAGAGTTCTGGTCTCTTTTCCTGTCTCAAATAACCAAAGTATTTCTCTGTATAGCTATCCATAGCACTGAATTAATATTTTCTTTAAGGAAAATAACACTTTAAGATTTCTTGAGGTCTTTTTATTTAAGTAGTATTTTATATACATACACACCATTTAAAAATGCTCAGTGAGTTACAAAAAATTATCCAGACTGACAACTTGAACCATAAGACTACTGCAAAATGATCTCCCATGTTGCTGCAGGCACAGTCAGCTTCCAAATTAGGGCAGGATGCCTATCCTTGTACCACATTAATTTGGTTGGCAAAGCAGAAAAACAGTGACAGCCTGTGGTTTAAAAAAACTGAGTCACAAACCTCTGAATTACAGGTTTTATATTAGAAATGGCAATTCAGCTGGGCACTGCTGAAAGAAACAGTAATGATGATGGGAAATGTAGTTCCATTCTGTACTGAAACCCTAAAGATTGTGAGCTGCAAACATTAAACAAAAGGTTTTGTATCTTCTACAGTTTTGTTTACATCCAGTAGTATAAGCAAGTAGTATTTGCCTTCCATTAGATTCAACAGCTGCTGTTACTTGTATAATTGGTGACTCTTTTGCATTTGCCTTAAACAGACCCTTGCAGCTCGCAAATCTGGTATTTCCATGGCCATGCTCATCCGGACCTCCATAAACACTGAAGAAATGGTAAGTGTTTTCAGTGACAGGTTTAAGATATTTAGGTAGCAGAGAAATTTTTGTTCAAAGATCTCTAAAAATTATTTCAGCATTACACACTCCAAACTGGATGAAATGGAATGTATTCCATTTATTGTATAGGAACTTTCAGGGAATTTGAGCAGAATTTGCTGCCTGATCCACAGTAGCAAGACCAGGTTTGCTTCTGCTGACTCACATCCATGATGGTCAGAGGGGACTAACCAAGAAAACCTTTGATTTACAAAACAGCTATCTGGGGAAGCCTTTTGTTTTAAATTGTCCTACTGTACCATGTTTACCTGCAGTCTTTCATCATCTTTCTATCTTCATCACACTGTGAATGCAATTAGAATGACAGGGCTCTGCAAGATGAGTTTTTATGATCATTTTTCCCAGTCCTTGGGATAATACTTGATTTAAAAAAAAAAAAAAACCTCATGTTAATAATATATGTGATTCTAGAAGAAATATTTAATTCATACAAGAAGTAACCACAAGAGTCTTTCGAAAAAACATGCTGTCATATCTAGTAAAATGCATGAGCTGTGGTTTTCCATTACTGATTTCACTTAGATTTGACAAAAGACATTTTTTTGAACAAAAACACAACAGGTGCCATTTTCTTCAGGAATACTTAAAGTGTGACACAAGATTTATTATGAACTAAGCAAAAGCAATAATTTGAAGGAATACAGGCCCATTTTGTGTTCCTCAAATTGCTAGTGCATACGTAGCTTTCTAAAATACATCCTATTCTGAAGAAAAATGAAGAGTTGGATTTTTCTTACATTATTGACAAGGTGCATAGCAGAAGAATGGGAGAACAGAAAATACTGACAGGTGTTCTGGGAACTGGAACAAGTAGTACAAATATTGATATCCATCATTCTTACCTGGTTTATTGTGAACTTTCTGTGCTTATATGGTAATAATGAAGTTATGATTTGGTGGTGCTCAGGGATAGATTGCTGAGGTGGAAAACAGATGGTGTTTGAAATGTTCTTCCAGTAGGGGCAGTAGTTATTTTATTTTGCTATCTCAAAATAGCAGCAAAGGTTGATAAAATGGAGAACTATGGGATCTTAACTACTGAATTATGATTCAGGAGAAATGGAAAAGGAAAATTCATTTGAATGTATTTTTATACCTCTGTATTCTTTGTCCTCCATTTGAACCATGCCATTTGAAAAACTGTGTACCAGAAATAGTTGTTTCTTAAGCAATCTTGAAATAAAAATTTAAGTCTGAAGGCAGACAGCAAATGTAATTTAGACATATGAAAGTTCATTTGATGAGAAAATGTAAAAAGTTCATTCAGAGTAGAGGTGAACAAAAGAAGCCAGTCCTATGCCACCCTCACTACACATACCAAGGGCCAGGGAGTGCTCTTTCCCAGACAAATCTAAGGGTACAGCCAGTAAAACCTCTTGCAAGATATTTAAAACAAGGGAAAGGCATTTCTTTTCTACTTCTCTAAGTAGCCAGCCAAACTTAATAACCTAGGGCATCATTACACTGGGTAGAGCAAGATTTGAAAACAAAAAGGACATTTTCAGGTGTAAAAGAATTCTCCAGATACTCTCCACAAAATGAAGATGTGAAATGCATATCAAGAAATGGAGTCGCCAATGAAATTCAAGGAAAAAAACTTCCCCTTTGGCTAAGTTATTCCTCTGATTAGGGCTTTTCTAGTTTTTACCTTCCCCCAATTTTTTTTCTGGAGGGAATATTAATGATTCTGGTGGGTGTGGGTTATTTGGCTGATTAAATTCAGTATGAAAATTCTTTGAACTAATGCCTTTATTAAAACTCAAGTGCCACCTACTCAAAAAATTACACCCTGAGGTTAAGGCTTTGAGCTTTGCCACCTGTCACTGCTATCCTTTTGGTACAACACACTCATGACACGCTGAGTTTGTGTGTTCTCAAGCACAGAGCCAAAGACATTTTAAACAGTGTAATACTTAGACATATGCTTTCAGTGGAGCACCCATTTAATTGCTTTGTTGAACAAAGACAGAGCTGCACACTTTTGAAAATTATACATCAATGACATCATCAAGTAATTCAGGTAGAATATGACAGAAGTAAATTTCCCTTTAGAGGATCAGCAGATAACTAAATAATTCTCCTATATATTAGTAGTGCTAAATGTTGCCAAACCAGTTGTTAGTTATATAGTATATTGGAAGTTATTAGTGCCATGTTGTTATGCTCTATAATTCACATAACAAAAACATTTAAACAGAGAAGAGTAATAGGAATGAAAGCCTCTAGACAGTAAGAGAAATAAAATTCTTTGCAATTTGCTTTATTAACAACAGGGGAAAGAACATGTTCAGCAGCAAAACCAATCTACAAATTGTGTCTTTCAGCTGAAAACTTCATTTACCCTCAAAGGTTTATTTTAAGGCCTGTTGAGGGTATATTTCATTACTTACTGACATTTCAGAAAAATGTAAAAGTTACTGGAAAAATTCTGAAAGTATTTATAATGTGAAAAATACTGAAGCTGAACAGGGTGAAAGGGCAGTATTTGTACTGAGGCTACATGAGCTCAGGAGTGGGAGAGTGTAATCAGTGGTTTCTGAGAAACACTATTCACTCAGCAAGCTGTATAAATTCACTTTAGGTTGTTTTAAAATTTCCTTTCTGGTCTCTGTAACATGGAAGGCAAAAGTGGAGTAATATACAAAAAATTAGTTCTCCAGAGTTAGGTGGTCATTACTATCACAGTTCTTAGGTTCTGCCAAATCAAACTGGTGCACACCTTTGCTTGCTTTCAGGGAAGTTAGTAGGATAGGCTGAGAATTACTCTGGAGGGCAATTCAGTATTTTTTTTTTAGTCTTTTCTGCTTTATCAGGTTTTTATATTACTTCAGTTCTTCAGGGTTCTCAGTTGTGCTTAGAACAGATATCCATGAAATGTCTCACCATATATCTTTGGCCAGGCTCCACAGGATGGATATTGTTTTCAGCAGTAACTACTAGCTTCAGTAAGTGCTGTTGCAGCCTAAGCTACCTAATGTTTGGTTTTATTATTTTTAGTGCTTGATCCTATTAATCAATGGCTACCCTATGGCTACATGGTACTGGTTTTCCTGTGGTAGCGAAAGTCCTTTGATTGATGACTTTGTGCAACATTGTGCAGATATGCACACAGAAACAATATTTGACTTTTATCAGACAATCTATTATTAGCAGAATATCTCACAGTTTGAGTAGAGATGCAGGTACATGAAACCAAGAATATGTCAGCATATTTTTAGACAGGTTAATATCTTCCATTTGGCATACAATTACCACAGCTGAATATGAAAGATAAGGGAGTGCTAACAAATGTTTAACTGAATAAGTTTGCCTTGCTTCCTATATTTTCAGAGCTGTGGTAGTGATGTTAAAAAAAATAGACAAACCACACAAATTCCAAAATCTTACTCCCTTGCCACAGCTTTATAGCCGGCATTAGAGCTACCTTGCATAACATCCACACCAGAGGAGGGCAAGGTAGGACAGGCAGACTTTCAGAAATATCCCACTGTGATATGTTTTATAATACGGTTTCTTCTTTCTAAAATAAGAATATCATGATATTCTGATGATAGGATTATTATTTTATTCTAGATAATAATATGGTGATATTTTTTGTAATACAGTTTCTTCTTTCTAAATGAAACAATTATTCCTTTATACGGGAATTTAGAACTTCTAATACATTCATGGCAGTCACATGTGCATTTAGTGAACACCCACCCCCTAAAAAAGGCACAAACAACCTAAGCTTGGTGCCAAGTGCTGCATACAAGCTGCTGAGCTCTTCTTATTCCCAATAAATTGCCTGGACCTAGAAGATCAGGGTGCCTGAAAGAAAGCTCAAATAAACAAACCAGAGCGTTGTGCCCATATAAGCCAAAGTCTTGTGTGCAAAATTACAGGGATTGCTTTGTTTTCATCTTATTAAGCACTAAGGAGCTGAGACTGAAGTTGTTACAATACTAATCAGTAAATAACCAATAACTGTTCTTGTAGTACAGCTAGTCATGGGTTTTAAGCTAAAACAGTCCAAGAAATGGGTTTGGATTTTTGAGAGTATGGATCATTCTTGTCTATAGTAAAAAGCAAGTTGATGCTTAAAAATGAAACAGTAAGTATGCTGTTATAGGAATACAGATAAAATGTAACCCTACAATTGGCTTGCTTTTATTTGATGAGCTTATATAGACACTTGGTATTAGAGAATAGTGTTGTATATAGTCAAAAGGCATTTTGTGCAATATGTCTAAGTCCCTATAGGAAGTATTTAAATTTTCAAAATTAATGTTTGGTAGCTACTTAATATGCCCCAATGAATGTAATGCTGCTTTTTTTCTTTTAATTTCTGCCTCAAAATATAAAAATATATTTATATTAGACTTTGTATTAATTGAATAACTTTATTCCGATTTGACACTGCTGTTTGTGTAATCAGACAAAAACAATCAAGCAGAGTTCTTTTCAAAGTGTAAAGCAAAATGAGTAAATCAGTATTTTACAAATTATTTTATACTTCTATGTATATTCTGATATTTGCTAACATTTTAGGTGTAAATAGCATATAGTGTGAAACAGTTCACTTGTGATACACAATACAGCTGAAATATTTCTTTTCTTACCCAACAGAAAATCCATGTCTTCAAGAAGACCCTGCAGGCTTTGATCTATCCAATATCATCAACTACACCTCATAATTTTGAAATCTGGACAGCTACAACTCCCACATACTGTTATGAATGTGAAGGCCTCCTTTGGGGCATAGCCAGACAAGGCATGAGATGCACAGAATGTGGTGTCAAATGCCATGAGAAGTGCCAAGACCTCCTAAATGCTGACTGTTTGCAGAGTGAGTATTCCATTATAGCTGAAGTGTTGTATTAATTCACACCTTTTGATTTTGTGTGTATGCTCAGTAATACCTTGAAATGAGGGAGCAGATCACCCAAAATCAGTGAAGGTGTGTTGATGCTCCTCAGTTGAGAAGTTAGCCAGAAGCTTTGGGGAAAACCTACTGTTAGAAAAACCTACTATTAGAAAACCTACTCATTTTGCTTTTGTCCTTGAAATCTGTCAAATGTTGCTGGGCTTTTACAAAATAATGCTTGCTAACATAAGTGAATTATTTACTTTCCACTGTCTATGGCAATATCTGGAGCGATTTATTACTTGACATAAACCCTCTTTGTTTTACTTAACTCAAAACACAAAAAATGTCAAAGGAAATATTTTTAAATTATTCCTGCTACTTACTGTAGTCATATTGATGTGCTAAAAAGTAGTCAAAAATATGAAACAGTAAGTAGGATCTTGTCCCTTCAAAATACTAAATACTGGATGTGTAAGGGAAAAAAATTTAGTCAGTGAGCCATTTGGCACTAGAATTAAAACAAAGCAAGCAAAAAGCTCCACTTGGTTCCAGCCACCACACATTCTTCTGTGAAAATATATCAGGTGTATTGAAACGATTTTTGAATTACAACACAATTATTATACAAGATTCTAAGCAATAGAAAATTGAGACCTGGAAGTTTTCTGATTTGGAGTGGAATGGGCTTCCATACTCTGGAGTTATTCAACACTGTTTACTGTTGATATGTTCCAGAGCTTCTACATGTAGGAAAACTACAGAGATATTTCACTCACTTCTTCCTTCTTTTCACTGTACTCTCTGTGTGAAGAGCTGTCATGCAGGATGGATGCTCAAGGTTTGCACTGCTCAGGAATCAATTAAAATTTCCCAGAGCAACTGACCCCATGGACAATAAATCAGTGATCAATGTCTAAATCAAACTTCCTAACTGTGCTTAATTGTGATTCTGCACTGTGGTTGAAACTGGACTGCTGTCCCTTGGCCCATATCGCCAGCCAAAACAATTGAGTCTTAAAAGAACAAAACCTCTAGAAGGCAAATTGCAGATAAAATATTTAACAAGCCTAAGGGATCCCACTCTTCTCATTAGTATGCAAATGTTTCTGAGCATCCTGTCATATTTTTTGCAACAGATTAATTGTTCAGCGTTCATAGTATACTACTTTGAAAATTTAATGTTCTTGGTTTTCCATTGAAAAAATGAATTGACCAATTGGTTAAATCTCTGTTTCTGAGAAAGCTGATGCTAGCAATGTCATAAAGTGAAATGTAGTTATTTTTATCATAGTCATTCTTTTGCCCACCTTGTAATCAGTAGGATGTATTCACCTTCAAACTTCTGTGATTTATTTTTTTTAATATATAATCATTGCTAATGTAGGTGTAGAAATGAATTCACATCTCAAGATCTTTGAGGTCAATATATAAACTTGTTCTCAATTAGATTTAGAAAAAAGCCAGTAGCACTTTCATTAGCTCTCTCATCTTCAATAAGAGATCCTTTCTAGTACTAGGTGCAATATTAAATTAGAATTGATTTCAGTCGTGTTGAGTTTGTATCAGTCCCTAGGGTGAAAGGAGCTTGTTAACTTTCTGTACAATGTAAGTTACACTATTGTCTTAATTAGTTTGATCAATACTGCATGAAAAGAGTTGTTGATAGACAGCAGTAGAGGTTGTTAGCAATAGGGGACATAAAACTAGTTGCAATAAATGAAGATAAAGAGAAAGATATTTACTTAAAGGAAGTTGTGTTTTAACACATATTTCAGTATTATCTGTACTGTCTCAAAAATCAACAAGGTTTCTAACAGGAATATGTTGTTGCCATTCAGATTGTGCCCAGGGTTTATCATTCAGTTATGTTGTTGCATTTCTACTTTTTAAGGAAGGGCAGAAAATAAGAGAAAATTTTAAAAGTTCCCTCCTGCATCTTCTAAGAATGACCTGTCATGTTTTCCAGACAGCTCAGCAATCATCTCTTTTATAATAAAATCACTAGATAATTTTTTAACTGGTGTTTTGTTTTATGGTAGCACATAATTCTATTTCTACTAATTCCTAATTTTTCAGTCTGGATAATCTTTAATCGCTAGAATGTTGGTCTTCCATATTCAAAAAGATTAGGTACTCTGACCAGGAGATTTCAAGATTTCTCAAGATTTAGTAGCCACAGAAAACTCCTTGAAGAAGCCATGTAATTCAGCCTTTTGGCAGTCTGAGATCACTTGTATCTGGTATTTCAACCCACACTTTTTCCACAGTAGTGATTGGCACTGAATAGTATTGGTTTAATAAATAATTTTATGTATAACACATAACACTGATGGAAGATGACTATTAACCCCTCATGTTAAAATAAATCAACTGATAATTTTAGATATCACAAAGAATATATATATGAGGTATTATTCAGGTGAAAGGAAGATCTCCTTCAGGTACTGCTGTACCAAGAGTTAACTGGAGACCTTAGAGAGGAAAAAGAACAAAGTTAATTTTCAATAGCAATGGTGACCTTTTCTCTCATTTCAGGAGCAGCTGAGAAAAGTTCCAAACATGGTGCAGAAGACAAAACACAGAATATTATTAGTGCTATGAAGGAAAGAATGAAGATTAGAGAGAAAAATAGACCAGAGGTGTTTGAAGTGATCCAGGAAATGTTTAATATTTCTAAAGAAGATTTTGCACAATATACAAAAGCAGCAAAACAAAGTGTTTTGGATGGAACATCCAAATGGTCAGCAAAAATAACTATCACAGGTAATTTTCTTCTGTTCTGAGAGCTCTTTCTTCCCTACTCTCCTAATTCAGGAGCAAGATTTTTTATAAGTAGAGCCAGACTGTGTGTTCAATTGCATACTTGGTGCATATAAAAACAGTGGAATTTATAGGATGCCAACTGCAAGAGTTGAGTTTTAAGTTGCCAAAACCACTTTATATTCTATTGCTATAGGAAGGATGACAAGTAAAAATAATGTATCTCCTCCACCTCCTACCAATATCTTCTGTGATAAGGATGAGATTTTTGCCACCAACTGCAAGAGTTTAAGTTCACAAAAAAAAAAGGCTTTGAGTGATTAAAAAAACCTTTGAGTTTGCAATTCCAAATCCCATTGGTTTTGAAACTTATTATCCATTCACATTGCTTGACTAAGGGTGTGTTCCATTTTAGAGATGCTGGTGTTGAATAATTCTGCTCACTCCAAACATATTCCAGATGGCTTCCAATTGCAATCGCCTGGCTGCTCATGAAGATTTCCAGGTCCTCTGACTTTGACATTTCAGTTTTTGAACTAAAACCTCAGCATTAATGGAGGCTATTCTGAAGGTTGAGAGGTGGTGCATGAGACTCAGAAGAATAATTGTGGAATTTTGGGACTGTCACCAAGCACTAGGGACATATTTAATTCATATGTTTATTTTTAGTTCTACCTCTAAAGGATACTGAAGGCTGTCTAGTGTTCAGGGCACTATACACATACAATTTAATCCTTGAAGACTTTTGCTAGGCTGTCCCTTCATTCTACTACATAAATAGAGGAGTGATACTTCCTTGCCTTCTAAAAATTTCCCTCTGAATTTAGAGTGAATGGGGAGGACAAAATATGCTATTTTATTCCGAAGAGTGTTTTCAGAAATTGGATGTGTTAAAGAATAGCAGGATTTTACTTCTTTCACTAAAGTCAGCACATATGACTGAACCCACACCAAGCTCTGATCTGCTGAGCAAGGTGCCATTTTTAGGTAATCATTTTCTGAGCACGCCAAGGGAGCTTCATTATCCAAGATGATTGACATTAGAGAATGTTAACTCAGTGTTACCACTGAGATGACTTAAAAAATGTGTGCAAAATAACAAAGCCAACTGCTGCTGAATGGTAAGAGCCAGAGCAAGTGTTTTAGCTGCAGATCTCTGGTTTGGTAGGCTGCTCTTTGAGAGTTCTGCTTTCCCCTGAGATTTCCACTTTTATGAATTATGATGGAAAATCAAATTGTATGTATTTATTTTTGCCACTAAATTCATATCTATTAACTATACACCCACACTAACTGTCAGAAAGGATACCAAATACATAAACAGTTGATGATAATTTATCAGAACTGTCACCCTCTCTGTGATAGCATAGAAAGTATTCTAAAACTCATGGTTCATCTCTTAAAAGAGCAAATGGCGACCATGTCCCTCATGTTTAGTTCCATAAGCCACAGGGAACTGTGGAATATATATTTTTTATATTATTAGAGGTTTTACTTTGGAAATGTTAGTTTGGCTCGTTGGAGAAATTTTGGAATTTTTTATTTATTTATTTACTGGGGGCAGGGAACTTTGGGGAACTGTCACACTCAAGACAAGTTATGCAACATTATATTCCTTGCCATCTTGACCAAACCAAAGTTTGAGAAAAGTATTTGAATTATGTGTGAAAAGTATTTGTTTGATGCTCAGTAGTGAATCTTTATATTTATTACTCTGTTAAACTATACTTTTAAATATGATACAGTCCAGAAGGGTAATTTAGACAAACCTTGTCAGTCTCCAGAGTTACAGACATTGGGAAAATAATCCAGAAACCTTTTCTTCAGGATCCATCACAGTGAGGCCTTTGTTTCCTGTTGCTGGTGTCATTCTCATTTACTTCTTGGCAATAAAGGCTATGAGGGCTAAAGCACATTTCTCTCCTTTGTTGCAGTTCTTTGTGCTCAGGGCTTGCAGGCTAAGGACAAAACTGGCTCAAGTGACCCATACGTTACTGTGCAAGTTGGCAAAAACAAGCGAAGAACAAAAACTATTTTTGGGAATTTGAATCCAGTATGGGATGAAAAATTCTACTTGTAAGTAGAGAAGATGCTGTTGATATTGCTTTTTTTAAATCTATATTTAGATAATATAACTCTACCAAGTGAAATGTTGGCTTAATTTGAAAACATGTTTTGTCTGCACTATACATATTTATAGCATTATGAAATTAGCAAGTTCTGAATGGAGAGAGCATCAAAATTTATTGTGTCTTTATCTTATAGTAGTCATGCATCTTATAATTAAGTCTTTTTTGGGATCTGTTGGTGATGTCTAATTATCCTAGTCTTTGAGGGAACTTAAATAAGTTTTCATACTTCAACCTTACATACCAAAGTATTGTCATTAGAAATGCTTTCCTATATGCCAGATACCGACCATGCCAGGTGGATGTGTTTATATTTGACACTGTGATTCTCTGAGGTGTAACTGGGGAATTTGGCAGTAACTGTTGTGCTCCAGGCTCAGGGTTGGTGTGTTTGTAATGTCCATACTTTTAGAGAGTGTTGTCTGAGTCAAATATGGAGAGTACCATATGATGGCATTGTTTAGTTTATTGTAATATTTCTTTCCTCCTATATAGAGGGAAGGAGTTGTCACTATTCCTATCTACATAAACTGTGCAGGCAGTTTCTGTGAGGGTTCAGGCATTTGAAATAGAGCCCTGCTTTCTTTGAGAAGGTGCAATGTCAAAGCATGACAGGTTAACTTCTTACAGTCTGGTACTTCCCTGGTTTTTGGCCAAAATCTGCTACTTTATTGAGGAGGAGGTTATTGTTTCAGTAGAGTGTGAAAGAGTTTTGGTCCAAGATGCTGCTTCTATTTGTCTGGAAAAGAAACTAGAGAATGCCGGCTGAATTAAACAATGTATGCCATTCCTTTCACAGATTCAAACACCTGTTTAGAAATGAATAGGTACTTCAGAGAAAAGAGACACCTAGAAACTTTTTACAAGCTTCTTCCATCCAGAAAGCATTTTCTTTCTGAGTTAACTGTGTTACTGTGGTAACAGTTGAAGTGTCATACCTCACTGAATGGCTTTGAGTGTCCAAAAGCAGGTCATAATTATGTTCTGGCATTTTAATTGTAGGAATTGCATAATGTCAAAACTTGGATGAGCAATTCAGAAAATTTCATGGAAAGTTTGTTGAATGTAGTTTATCAAAGATGTGAGCCAAGCTACAATAAAAGCCCTCGAAACTTTCAAATATTTAAGTTTTTTCCCCAGCACTATTATTATCATCTGCTGCCCTAGAAATAATATTTATACCCCCCCGAAACCTTACTGTAGCATGTACCTCCTGAGCAACTGCTTTTCACCAAATATATTTTCCAACATTTTTATAGCACATGTGTTTTCTGAAATAATCTCCTTGACTTATTCAATGCTTTAGATTTCAGCTGAAAGTACATGAGAATTTCTAAATTGTATTAAATAAACTATAAACATTTAACCAGAAGATTAAATCTAAAGTAAATCAATATAACTATTTAATTGACTCAGGAAGTGTTATTTAAATTAGGCTCTATTAGTGGCAATTGATATTTAAATCCTGTTGAAAATCCAACATTAGCCATCACTATAACTTTTAAATTATAAAATTTAGAAATAAGATGTCTCAAAAATCTTACAATCTAATGCATACTTATCATACCAAAACATGTTTTCAAGTCCTCCCATCTGTTCCAAAATAAAGACTTGGAAACAACATTGGCTCCCCACTGTGCGTTTGCTCTGTCATAGCACATGGAGTGAGGGCAGTGTTCCTGTTCTTAGAACCACACGTGACCCAGATATGATTGCACGGTAGCAGTGAGAGAATGTTTCTGACCAAATGCAGTCTGACCCCCTGCTAAATGACCATGGGACACTGGCATAGGTTTGAACAGGAGACCTCATAAAGGATAACTAAAAAAGAGCTTTGTGGTGCACAAGGTAGAGGAGTAAATAGGCCAGCAGATGTTCATTTAATGAATGTAACATAGGTGCTAAGGGCTTTTATCCTTTCTCCTGGCATTATTAGAAATGAGATAACAGAGAAGTTTGGGGGCTTTTTCAATGAAGCATCAGTGATAGGAGAGTTTCTTTCAATGCCAGAGCAGAGTCCTGCAGCTGTCACCTTCTCTTTGTGGTTGAGTGTGGCATCTGATACAGGAAAAGAGACTACATTTTCTTCTTTTTTTTTTAATTACAGGAAGATATATTTGGCTGTATAGTTTTCAGCTTTGTAGAAACCTTTTTATTGATACACTATAATAAAAGTCTACTCTCATTCTTTTCTTGACTATTTTCAACAGTTGGTTACTGACATAGGGAAATCAGTTTTTTTCTGACAGTGTTGTCTAGGATAGCACACATCTCCAAATTGCCCTGCTGACTTTGCAGGTACCACATTTCTTCTGACCATTCATAAATACCTCAGATACAATTGTATAATGAAGACATCTTCCAAATAACTGGATGATTATTTACATTCTTTTTTTTTCCTATTTTGACTGTCACTAAGACAGCATAAGGGCTCTAATAAATATCTTCATTGGATTTATATTGCTACCTTCAGTGGAGAAAACATTTGTTCAAACTGATTTCAGTCATCCAGCTGTAGATGTTCTTTCTTAGAGTTACTTTAAAGCATGGGCCTCACACAATATTTAATCTTAAATAAATTATTAGTGGCTTCATTTTAAGCAATATTTACTGTCAGTGGCCAAGAGGACTTCACCAAAGTCCCTTTGAACTGTTATTTTGTGCATTCTTGAGCAGCTGGACTGACTTTTAAAAAATATTATCTTCACTGTACATGGTTGGTTGAGTCAACATGGTTGGTTAACTGCCTAAATGATGCTTCAGGTTCCAGTGCTATTTAAACAGTTTTGCCAGAATTGTTGAAATAGCTCAAAGATTGCCTCCTAGGCAAGAGTGTATAACAAAAGCTTGTATTACATAAAACTAATTGAGTAATAAAACCTACACATTAGTTTACTATACTCATCCATTCCAAAAGTTCTTCAATAATCAGTCTGAGACATTATGCTAATTAAAATAACTGTATGTCACAGCCTCAGCCCAAATCAAGAGAGCAGAACACCTCTAAGAAGCAATTCCAATGATAAATTGTTTGTTCAGTGATGATATTTTTCAGGTTTAGAGTACAGCATGCATGGTCTGAGTCTTTTTTTCAATCTGCTGTCAATCCAGATTAATTATACAACTCTCTTTTTGTTATGACAGAGTAAAATAATGCAAGAAAAAGCATAATTAGTCTCATTCTACTTTATCAGAAAGCATGGCCCGTGACAACACTGCTAAAGAATTGGGACTGTCCAGACTAGAGAAGAGACAAGTAGTGGAGGTAAGGATGTCTCTAAACACATCCTTTCTCCTGCAAAGAGGAAAGGAATAATCTATTTTCCATGCTTACTGTTACAGTAGAACAAGAATAATAGAACAAGTAATAGTATGGTAGAACAAGTAATAGCCACAAATTTCACTTAGAGAGTTTTAAATCAGACTTCAGAAAAATTTTGCCAACAGTTGGGCTAATGAAATTCTGGGAGACATATCCTGAGGGACCATGGAACTGTCTCTGAACACCTAAGAACAAAGTGGACATAGCAATGGTGTGGATCTGGTCCTGGATTGCAGTAATGGCAATAATACTACTAATAAACATGAGGGTAATAATAGCAATAAGTGGCTTCCTGAACTTACTGAGGGTAGCACACTATCACTTGTCATTTTAACACTGGGTGCCGATCTCTCAGGAGATATGTACAATAAGATCATGCCAGTGCATCTAATATTAAATTTACATTGGGGTACTGTTGTAAAGATACTTTTTTATTCCAGTTTTATTACTCTAACCATTAGAATAAGCTGGAATTCTATGAGGATTATTTCATGTCTGTGTGGCATTCTGGAAATGCAGAAGTAATGTAGTGTCACCAGATTGTTATTAAATTATTAAAACTGTCTCTTCTGTCTTGCATCTCTGAATAGACTGCAAATTCTCTAGTTTTCAGAAGCATCAGTACCCTCAATTCTCTGTGTGCTAGGGAACAATTCATTTTTCATCTTCCTCTATCACACTTCTGTGAATGCTTTTACTGAGCACATAAAGCAGAGTGGTTAGAAGAGGAACACAGAAACTAGCATATGTTGTCTAGCCTTTAATTCCCTGGGCTGATTTTCCTGGAGTAAACAGAAGTAGGAATTCCATGCAGAGCTTCTGGACAGATGTTAGCAGTGACTACAGCAGAACCTGCATGTCATTCCAGTGGGCTGTTTCTGAGTCTGGGCAGGTGAGCAGGATCATTCAGCTCTGGAACTTTAGCAGTCACTCCCTGCAGTCACACTGCCACAGGGCAGGCCAGGAGGAAATATTTGCTCATCTACTCTTCAGTTTTTAAACACAGATCCATGCTATTTTTGTGGTCCTGTACAGGAACATTATGAAGGTAGCAGAGCTGCCTCTGTTCTGAAGCACTGACACAAAGAAAAGCATGAGTTAACACATTGGTTGGGTCTGGTCTCACCACGTTTCACTAACCTAAGATTAAAGGAGAAAAGGATGCTGAGGACAACTGAGGTGATCAGGGAATCCTGACCATCTGAATAAATATTTCTTTATCAACTAAGTGTATATCAGAGGGGAATTTATGTTGTCTCAGAAGAATAGAAATATGATGTTTGTGCTGAAGTACACAATGACTTTTTATATGCAGCATCTGTCAGAGAATCAAAGCAGGAATACATTCTGTGAAAAGCACAGGTATGGTGATGAGGGTCACATAAATACTTCACCAGTGACAGATCTCCCTATGTCACTATAGAAATCCCCTGTCAATTATTTCTGTTGGGTGCACAGCTAAATGCAATGCTGGAACTTTAGCAATGTTAAGTAGTAACTTAGAGCTACATTTTAGGAGAATTAAATAGCCTAGTTTCTTAAAGCAGCAATGCTTATTTGGTTCACCTCTATTTTCCTATATTTTGTATGTTCTTGCCCATAGCCTTTGAATTTTGTGATCAGTCAGAGAAATTCCCCATATTGCCAAATAGTGTGTCTATAATGTTCTATGAAAATATGTGGTTAGAGGGAGATGAGATACTTACTGTCCTCAGTATGACCTCATCTTATAACAGATACCAGGAGTTCACATAAAGGAGTAATTTATGAAAACCCCAGCTATGGGAGAAGATTCAGCAGGTGATTGTAGTTGGTTGGATATCAGGGAAGCCAGTAATAAGACAAAAGGAAACTGCACTCTGTTAGTTTTGCTAATCACAGAACAATGTGCATTTTAATTACCAGAATTATTTGCAAAGTTAAAATCTGGAATATAGACAGACCACAAGGATTTCTGTGATACTGAATGATGTCACAGTGTGGCAGAGTAAAAGCTGTGCATGCCATTTTTAGTGTCTGATTGGCCTTGACAATAATAATACCATTTACAGCACTTTATACTTCCAAAGCCCATTACCACCACTAATTAATTCTTAGAATACCCCTGAGGGGTTCTGCTTGGAAGATAAGTTGGAGTATTACTGTTTTAACACTGGAAACAGAGACAGATCACTAAGTAATGACAGTGCTTGGAATAGAATTTGAGTACAAACTCTTAATCAACTGTGAAAGTAATGCCCTGCTGAAGATGAAAATTTGCAGCTATGCTTCAAAGTCGTATTTAAAGATAAACAGAGGTATGTAATACAAAATAAAATATTTCTGTAGCACTAGTGAATGAATATTAAAAGCAATACTTCATATGAATGCACAAGTATGGTATGGATTTAACTGATGCCAGCTCTGTACTAGTCAGACTTCAGCAGAAAGTTTTTCACTAACTCAAACCTCTGCAGTCAGTGTTGGGATATTCCAATCAAATCATCAAAAGCCATCACCAACAAATAGTAAATAGTCCTCACTGTGCCTTATAGGAATAAGCAGCAATAGAGTTTATTTTACATTTCTGTGCAAATAAATGCAGGGTGCAGCTGGGAGTAAAATTGTTTTTCCACTGTGTACTCTGTAGATTGAAAGTGATGCCACTTCATTCCCTCATACATCCAGCACTTTCTCAAGTCCACTCAACCCAGAAGGGGTTAGTAAGCCACTTAAATTTACAAGAATTTTTTTAGAGCATGGCATGGTCCCTACTCTTTCTCCTTACCAGGGAATGGGAGGTCTTGAAGAACATTAATATATCTTTTAAAAAAAAACAGGTACTTATTTTCCTGGGTTTTTCTGATTGCCTTTCTTTCCTTGATGAGATGTTTGTGCATACTTCTTGGTTTTTAACAAAAGCTACCTGACACACACTGGAAATATTCTTTAATTTTTTTATTGCTTTTTGTATTACCCCAGAGTACTACTATGGTAGTTTACTGTATGTACTACATGGCATTCCTAAACAAATAAACCTGACCTAACTGTATCTTTCCTAAGATAGTCATTACATAATAGCATAAAAAGTATAAATTTCAAATAAAAATTTTTAATGAGCAGTTATTGAGATTCCTAAATACAATCTTTATGTATATATAATTCAATCCATTTATTCTCTTTATATGTAATAATTCTCATATGTAGAGAAAATTTTTTATCTCTGGCAGTCTGGGTTGGCCTTTTTTTCCTCTGGATATTGCAGATTGTTTGTGCTTTGACATTTGGTGCAGTTAAGCAAGAGTGTGGAGATTGATTTTAATGAATTAGACAGCAGTGCAGAGTAATATAGTTTATATACCACTCACATTTTGTGTTTTGTTTTTGTTTTTCCAGTGAATGTCATAACTCTACAGATAGAATAAAAGTGAGAGTATGGGATGAAGATGATGATATCAAATCTAGAGTAAAACAGCATTTCAAAAAGGAATCCGATGATTTCCTTGGGCAAACAATCATTGAAGTAAGAACACTGAGTGGAGAAATGGATGTATGGTATAATTTAGGTATGATTCTTACTGATTTTTTTAAAACAAATTTAGGTAGAGTATTACTGTCTTTAACTTTGTGACTTAAAAATTTGTAGCATTGGTACCAATGCATGACTTCTAAAATATTAAATATAACAGGTTGATTTGAAAATGAGAGATAGAATCCACACTGCCCCATCCCACTGTGCCACTGGCAGGGAGGGGGTTGAGAAAATCAGGAATCAGGTAAACCTGTGAAGAAGGGATAGCTGAAGAGAAGGTGTGTTTTAACATCTGGGTTTATTTTTCATTATCCTCCTCTGATTTCACTGGTAACAAATTGATTTTCCCCCAAGTCAAGTCTGGTTTTGGCCATGGAAGTAGTTGGTGAGTGATCTGTTCCCCATTCCTTCTCTCGACCCATGGGGCTTTCGTTACATTTTCTATGCCCTGGCCAGCAGAGGAAGGGAGGTGATAGAGCAGCCTTGGTGGGCACCTATCAGAATCAACCCATCACACTCAGAGTAGTCCAGCTTGTTGGTAAAGTCTTCATAATTAAAGGAAAATAATAATAATTGATACAGATGTCAGGTAGAAAAGTACAGTAATTTCAGTTGAGAAGGGGAAAGTAGTAAATAAATAGCTGTGTAGCCTTGCTTGAATGTAGGAGATAAAATAAGAGATTCTTTACTTCATAGTTAGTTATTCCACTTTGTGGCTTGAACCATGTGTGAGGTATTAAAAGACATTCTTATTTTCAACAGCAGGACTCCCTAGCTTTCAAAGATTAAATTAGAATGATTTATGAAAGCTTTTCATATGACATACATGTGTTCTTGGTAGTTACTAATGTATTATTTTTCCACTCTTCAGAAAAGCGAACAGATAAATCAGCTGTCTCTGGGGCCATTAGACTGAAAATCAATGTTGAAATTGAAGGAGAGGAGAAAGTTGCTCCTTACCATGTGCAGTACACCTGTCTACATGAGGTATGTTGGAGAGTTTATAGTATAAAGTATAGAAATCCCTGTTCAGTTGTTGCATGGATAAAGAAATAAGGCTATAGAACATTAGAGCACTGAAACAAATTACTGCTGCTGTACTTGAGGGCAAGTTTGTTTTAGATTTCCCATTCTGTATTGCTCAGGAAGTATCAGGTTCAGAGGCAAGGGTAGAAAATGTAAGACCACCAAACAGATCATTCCTGCCAGGAGGTGTTAGAAAAAGAGATTGAGCCAGACAGATAAATTCTACGTGTACTTATTTTTTTATTTAGCCCTTTGATACATGATTGTTATCATCAGGAATACACAAGCATTTCTATATATTACAGAAGTATGCTGTAAAGTATTTCTTTTGTTTTACAGTAACACATATTTTGGAGAGTGAGAAAAAGGAGAAACACAAACTCTATAAAATCTAATTTTCCTTTCATCTAGTTTGCTTTTGTCAACATTGAAAAAAATAATTACTGATAAATAGGTGTGTCTTCTGAAAGATTTTCTTTGTAATTGATTATTCTTCCTTCAAATAGTCGTCCATGTAGAAGTTCTATTCTGGAAATACAAGTAGTTTCTGAAAGCTGATAGCTAATGCATGGCTGAAGGTTCACCACTAGCATGTAGCCACAAAATCCCATTGTTCACCATTTGTAAAATCAGATATTTAGGGCATTTGTCCTGATCAATTTTGACCTGAAATTGCAAATGTTGGACTTACGAAGTAAATTACAATATTCAAATTATTTAAGAGAGTCCAAGAGACAGTTACGGGCTAATTAGCAAAACTGAAAGTATTTCGAAGTTTTAGGGGTTTTTTTTCAATCACTGAAAATAGGAAAAAAAAATCTGTTGGATTTTGTGGATACCTATGAAGTTGTAAAATTTGTGAATGCATATGGAGCTAGGCAATCTGAGAAGAATTCTATGCCATGAATGTCAAATCCTAGCTTTGCTCCCAAGGGTACTAAACCTAAGTTTTGTTGCACACCTTGCACAATGAGAGAGGCACCTGCAGTATTTTCTGTTAGCTCCCTGTAACTGAAGGGCTTAAATGATGAATTTGAAATGTATTGGTCACAGATACAATTGAAATTGAAACACTCTGTAATAAGTATTATAACATCATGATTTCATTTATTAACAAGGGCATATAAAAGAGAAGTTTCTTCACTATTTTATGTTGCATTCTGTTCTAGTTAACAGGAATGACTTCCTATCAAGAAGATACAATTGCTGAATCACAAGCTTGCTGACTAGTTTGAGCCAGTCTTTGGAAAAACAATTCAAACATTGACTAGCAACATATTGAAGACTATATGTAGGATGTATTTCAGAATGCTTCTTAAAAGCCAAACTTTCATTTTTGAAACATTTCTTACCTTTAGAATCTGTTCCATTACCTGACGGAAGTGAAGTCGAATGGTGTGGTGAAAATCCCCGAGGTGAAAGGTGATGAGGCCTGGAAGGTTTACTTTGATGATGCTGCACAGGAAATTGTGGATGAATTTGCAATGCGCTATGGAATTGAATACATTTATCAAGCTATGACGTAAGTATCATCATGGCTGGCTTTCTGCTTTGCTGTGAACAATGTGTTTGAGGGAAGGAACGAGTCTCAAGCCTTTGTGAATTCATTCACTGTTTCTCTTGCATTCCTGACTTTAAATTCTTATCACTTTGTCCATCTGATTCTCATTAAAGTGCTTCTCATCTGCAGTGGCTTTAAGATATAAGCATTTTATAAGCTGTTACTGGTCTTACTGCTAATGCATTCCTTAGTCCTTATGATACTGATATATAGCACAGTTCAGAAAGACTTCCAGTGTTCCAGATGCAGCTGGAACAGGGTTTCAAAAGCTCTGTACTCTTTTCTACTACTATAGAAGCTCACTAGTGGCTACAGTGAGCTTCCAGAATATATGTAAATAATTTGTGCAAACCATTTTTAATAGTACTATTACTGCATCATCCGTTCTAAAGCAGCTGTCCGAAAACCTTAGAACACAGCACCATAGAGCCCAGGCATGTGAGATCCATCATGTGTTCTCAATTTATCCAGCAAAAAGTTTTCTGGTGAAAAGGACTATATTCTCCTAGAGCTGTAGAAAAACAGGAGATTTAAGTGAGTCCTATAAATAAAAATACAGGCTTTTCTCTCACAGAAACCTGGTAATGTGGGATTTTTAATCAGAACATCTCTCATATTTTTGCATCTCTTTACCTCCTAAAAAGAAGAGTCTTATAATAAGTAAGAAGGTATCTAAAAATCTCAAGTTTTCTTTTATTTGCAGAATATATTGACACCACCTACTATTGCAATGAGCTTGTCAGTGAATTCTTGTATTGTTCATCTAATAGAAGTTCAGGGAATATATTTTGTAATATACATGTTTATAATGATCTTCCTTCAAGGAACTTACTCAGCATTGCAAAGAATAATTAATGATTGTATGTTTAATAATAATTAATTCTAACCAAGCCATTTTAAGTTAATTGACCTATTTTGCCTTGTCCTCTTTTTGTTCTTGCTTTCTTCTGTACCTTTTCCCCCAATTTTCCTTGATGTTGTTGATTGCAAACCAGGTGTCTGAGGGCAGATGTAATGAGAAAGTGAATTTAATATTAGATGGTCACAAGAAGTAAAAGCTAAGATTTCATTGTCCCCATACCCACATCCTTTTATATTTTAAAATGTTTCATGTCAATAATGAGCACTGCCTTTTTGAGGGAACAGCCCCAGCCTGTTTAAGTTGGGAATAAAATCAGTGATGCATGTAATCTCATGTAATACTTGGAGAAAAATATATATTCATATACGTTGTTTTGCTGAATCATCTGCAGACACATCTCAGAGCATTCAGACTTCGGGAAGAAGAGTAGTGAAGACACTAAGTCTATTTGTCATGAGGAATTTTCTTTTGGACTATTATCTCCTGGTTTTCTTCTTTTTATGAGATTACCTTTTTCTTCTGGAACAATTTTAGTGGCTGGAAGAAAATGTGCAGCTTCTTGATTTGGAAAATAGAATTATCAGATTGCATTTTGTAACAAAGGTCTTCTACTAAAACAAAAGCAATTTTCCAGTATACAACAGAAAGAGAATTTGAATATAATCACTTTGCCCAGAGGAATATTGTGTAAGAATTTTTTGCTTGAGAATCTAGTTGCAGAATACTGCTACTGCATGTCTCATGGTAACATTGGAAATTAAAATGTTTGTGTTTGTAAATGCAAAACTGATTAAGCTTTAATACCCCGGGATCCAGACCCCAGAAAGCATCTGCATTTTATCAGGCTACATGAGTTTTAGGATGTTGTATTCATATCTGTTTTAAAGTTAGCTATTATAAAAAGTTCCAGTGCTACTAAATGATAGTCAGTCTTGACCCTTTTAAGTATAGATAGATGCCACATGCTGGAGTAGGAACATATGCCTTTCTGCATTTCTACACAACATAAACCTGATTAAGTTTCTCTAAAGTACCCCTGTCTAAAGTGATTTGGCATCCTGTTCCACTACAGCAGTAAACAATCCCACTTGTCTGTTATTTCTGGTTCATTATAGTGACTTTGTCATCCATGATCTCTTAATAAACCCTGAATATTTCCTTCTGGCCCTCAACAGTTATTTCTATCTTCTCCTTTAGAGCACAGAGATAATATTTCAAAAATTTAGTCTTGATTTTCTAAACACAGTGAATATATTCATACTGAAATGTGGGATTCAGACCAGGAGGTACCACACAGGTTACCTGTCTGCTCTAATCATTGTCCCTACTTAGACCTTTCTCACCAAACTTAGAAAGATAATGAATTCAGGTGTGATTGCAGCTCTTGCTGGGGATAGGAGCATCTCCACATTTTTATGAGATAAATGTAGACACTTTTTCCCTAAAGATGCTGACTTAGAAGGGGAGTTTTACTCTCAAGATACAGATTACCACTGTACAGTTCCTGAGCAAGGAAATCTGCTTTAAGGTACAAATGTGGAATTCATGTGAATAGAAAAACAGCCATTGACCCAAAGTAAAATACAGCAAAAAGACTGATTCTGTTGCAGTAATTGCAGCTCTTTGAAGTCTTGACTGTATAGGTTACATAATCCAGTCTTCTTTCTTATGGCTATTTTGTACTGCCATTCCTCATGGAGTCTGTACTAGGAAAAGAAAAGCGAGACCATTACAGCCATTCTTACATGGTTCAGATGAGATTTTTTTTTTAGTTTTTTTTTGATGGGTAACAGCCAGACAGACACTGTTAGCCACACAACTGGTATGTGTAACTCCCAGAAGTACAAGCAGGGATGTGTGAGACAGTAGGCAGGAAAATAAGTATCACAAAAAGCAGGAAGAAAAAGTAGAAAAACAGCACAGTGATCCGGCTGCCCTTTATTTTGATGACTGTGGTGAGTGATGGCAGTTTATGCTGTAAATTCAATGTCTAGAAGGAATCAAACTGAAATTTTATTTACCTACATATATTAAGCCACACTCTGCAGTGAAGAAAAAGTAACTTTTTTTCTGTCATTCATCTTTCAATTTAATATACTTCTCTTTAGAAGGCAAAAATCTGAGCACGTATTGCAACAGTGTTTGACTAGACGCTGAAATTACACATAATATCAGCAGCCTGAATTTACTGTGTAATAGAGTCAAGTGCAATAAAAGCTGTATTAAGATCTTTACTTCTTACTGGCAAGAGTCACCACAGGTAGAACCTAATGATTCTCAATCAGCAACATAGCTCTCATTCCAGCAGGTTAATGGGCACTAACTATGTCATCTTGTTCTCCTGCTAGTTTTCAATTAATGTGGCAGCATTACAGAAAGCACACAAATCGCCCATTAAACTAATTTTTTATTGATAGCATTTGCTTACTGATGAGTACAGCACATCAATTAGACTCCTTTCTTTGCTAATTCATGCTAACAGAAATACTGGAAGAATCCCAGGCACTGTCTATTGGTCAGAAAATTGCACAGTAAGAAAGTTGGAGCAAGCAGGCCTGGCTTCAGCTTATGCAGTGCAGCCTTGCTCTAAAATGTGTGAGACTTAGAAATGGTTGCTATGACATCATGTGCCCGCTAGAAATTGTTAATAACTCATGCAACTGGCTGCTGTTTTCAAAGACCTGCAAAAACAAGGATAGGTGTTTACTTTGATTTATTCATTTTAGCAAGCAGAAGGAATCCAGGTATCTTGAAGGTAGCTGATAACCTGAGTTATCAGCACTCTGAGTCATGACCTATATTCTGTACTTAATAGGTCCTGTGAACATTAGAGATTTTAATTAAATGATAGAGAGAAATAAAAATCTGTCACACATGCTTTATCATAATTTTCACTAAGCACATTACAGGTGAAACAGTGCAGTGATACAATAAGGACATAAATTACAGCAATTGCTTTAAATTTTCCTTGTGAAAATTTGGTACAATTAGGGTCTAGTCTAAATATAAGAATTCAGTACAGGTAGCTCATTGTGAAATGCTTAGAGTAACCTTCAGAAGACGCCTTAAAGTGTTGACCCAAACGATATTTCCATGGTCTGTCATGTTCCCTGAAGGCAATTGAGGCAATCTCAGTGATTTCTTTGCTGCTGACAGCTCCTTTTGCCTCCCTTCTCCCTCAGAGGAGCATGTGTTACAGGTATGACTCTAAGGCCAGTGGGGTTATTAGTGCCTTTTTGTCTCCAAATTGATGTTACTCATGCACTAAGGACCTTTAAGTCCACTAAAAGACTTCTGGAAACTAAAGGTCAACAGTATTAAAAGTATTAATTATTTTGTCAATTTTTTGATAATTCGCTCTGATGATCCCTACATATATTTTCCAAACTTACTCAGAGATAAGGAAATATTTCTATTAGCTTTAAAGGTTACCTTTATTGGTGAGAACCACCTGACATCACCATTGTATTTTATTACAAAGGAAAGTATTATTCTTCTACTTGACAGAAAACATGTGACATATGTTTTGAAAGATTTTTCTGAGGGGTAGAAAACTGTGTTTTTCTTTTGTTGAATTCACATTTCAGTCTTCAAAAGCACTTCTTGAAATTACTGGCTATGAATTAAAGTTTCGGTAACACTATTCCATGAGTACATAGCTGGGAATGCTGGGCTCTAGTCCTGGTTGGTTTCTGAGTAGTTTTGAGCCGTTTCTCTCAGTTATGTAAAATGCAGATAATAGCACTTAATAATTGCCCCCACAGGAAAACAATGTTGAATAATGCCTTAAAAGATGCTTTGGGCAGTCACAACAGTTTAAGGGTATTTGGCTTAAGTTCAGCAGGAAAGTTAATTTTTTTCTTGGAAGGGCATTAGTGCCCAGGTGGTTAAGGCCCAGCACACTGTTCTGCCTTATGCTCCTGAGGAGGAGCAGGAGAGAGGAGCCGGAGACTCCAGCTAAGAGGAGCATGTGGCCAAATCAGGACCTTCAGTTATACAGAGCCTGATTGGAATTTCCTAATCCTCTTCTGTTTGTACACCCATTTTTTACCACCATCTTTTCCTAATCTCCTTAATTCTCTTTCATATTTATGTACATTTTTTCTTTATCCCTCTCTCTCTCCCAGTCCTGCCTAGTTATAGATCTTTAAATTAGGAATTTATGTTTAAAATTATAATGTTCACTCTCCTCATGTGTCAGATCTTTCATTCATTTGTACCTCTCAGGTTCTGTTGTATTATAAGCCCTTTGTATGCTTCCAGCAGGCATCTCTTGTTTCATTAAACAAGTAAACAGTGCTGCTACATTGCACCTCTGGTTTTGGCTGCTTTGGGTTTAACAGACTGATTACCTAAATTTTACTGGCCTGGATCAAAGTGGAAGAGTTTCAGTTATGGCCTAATTCAAATCAAGGTGAACCCAGAAGCTGCTTGAAGCACCTTTCATTAATAATGGAGGGTAAAATAAAAGCCACGCTAAAATGCTGGTTTGAGTCTGTTCATTGATAACAATTAAATCTTTTTCTACTATAGATCTCTGTGACTTTCCATGATGATGAGTTAGAGTTTGCTTTTTATGTTTTCTTTAATAATTAATGTTTTGTTTAATAGCAATTAAAATAGTTAAGTCATGTTTTTGTGTTTAGGATTAACAGAGTAAGAACTGAATGTGAATCTAATGTGGCCAGTTTGAAAATATCAGTGTGCAACAAGTGGCAACTGTGTCAAACATGTCTGGATTTTCCTCATATACATCTGTACAATTTTCCTTGAGGTAGCCTGAAAGTTACATCATTAGAGTTCGAAAGAAATTATAATAGGAGAAGGAGCAGATTCCGTGCCATCTTTAATAACTCTTGGTTTGTTTGAATTTCAGGCACTTTTCCTGTCTCTCTTCTAAATACATGTGCCCTGGTGTTCCAGCAGTTATGAGTACATTGTTGGCCAATATAAATGCTTTCTATGCTCACACAACAGCAGCAACAAATGTCTCTGCCTCAGATCGCTTTGCAGCTACTAACTTTGGGGTAAGTAGATTTTCTTTGATAGAGTTCTGGTCCTTTTCTTTTTTTCCTACTGTATTCCATATTAACTTCTACATTGAATTTGTTTTTAATTGCTCATTTTAAAAAGTGAGGGTTGTTGTTAGCTTTTGAAAATTTTACCCTGACTATTTAAAATCAATCATAACAAAAGCCAGAGGAGATGCTGCTCAGCTCCTTGTGAGGCGTAGAGGCTAGAAAGCACTGGCACACGATCACAGCACTAAAATCTCCCAGAATTTTTGTTTTATTGCAGTGGGCCTTGCAAACTGCTAACTGCAGTAGACTAAGTATTGGATGCAATTCCTTTCTTGGGCTGTGTCATCAGTGAACTCATGTTAACCTAATGGATGTAGCCATAAATGCTGCTCTTCTCACAAGGATCCATAATAATGGACTCTCTCTGATTTTTGCTGAAATTTTTGCTGGTAAATTGTCCAAGTCCTGGTTTCAGGAATTTTAGGAGGAGTAGTAGCATTTCAGGGATGTAGGAATACTTTTATTATTGCTAAATTTTCTTCTGTGGATAAGTATCTCACAGCGTGGACTTCCTATTCTTTGAACATGATAATAAATAAAGATTATTCACTTTTTTTTCTGATTTCTTCACCTACTCTCAGAGGAATTGAGAGCAGTAAGGCAGAGCAATAATTCAAAGAGGTTGCCGTCATAGCTCTGGTATTACGCATGAGACAGAGGGTATAAACACAATCTTATGCTGAAAAATGCATTTATTCTTTCCTCTTTTTTTAGTAACGTTTTTATTTGCAGGGTTGATATAAAATATATATTTGATGTAACAGCTTTCATACAATACTATTTATTGACATGAAATAAAATATTAATTGTAATTAAAATTTATTAAATACACATTAAAATTTCAAATTTAAAATTTTATTTGAAGTAGCGTTAGAGGTACTAGAACTCTTCTCCCATATTAGAATAATAGAGGAATTATGAATTTCAGATTTTCAAGATAAAATTATGAAATTATACATTTGGATGTGTAAACCAAGAATTACTTACTTGTTGAAACAAGTCTTCTCTTTCGATATTCAAGCTTTATTAGATCTCTGACTTTTATGCAATTTTTGAAATTTAGAATGGTTTCACTGGATTTTTATCCTTTTTTCCCATTTTTCTAATGACCAGAACTACTTTTGTCCTCAGACTGGGCAGAGATTAAGTCCTTTCTCTGATGGTAATGCCAGTTTGCCTCTGACGCAATTCCAATCCAATTCATAGTTCAACAGATGGATGGGAGAAGAGTAGTAGGAATCACTAAAAGAGATTTGGAGCTCTTTTTCAAACAATTGACTTATAGGCAAAATATGAGATTATTCTTCTCTCCTGGGTCAAAAGGCATTTGTTAGTGAATAGCAGCACATCATTCATCAAAAATAACATCTCAAATTCAAGTCCTCAGGCTACAGCTGGGAATGATTTGGCTGACTGAATATTTCAGTAGAGCTTTATAACATGACAAAAAAGTTCTCTTTTGATTGATCCCTTAAGGGAACTGTGCCAAATTAGTGGGGTTTGGTGTAGTTTAGAACTCCACTGATGAGAGACCGTGCACAGACTCTATTTTCAAATTCCTGATCATCACATTTGTATTGTACAGATACAATCAGTGCACTCTGAGAGCTATCAGCTCCTGCTTCTTCCAGAAGTCTGCTGCTTTCACACAGGCTGAGATTTCACAGTTTTGTGCAGTAGACTATGGAATATGTTCTAACATGGTAATTAGAAACTCATTAGTATTACTTGAGAATGGCACAACTCAGCTGGAAATCTTACAGCAAAATAATTTCACTGCTCCTATCATCTATCAAGATAACAAGTTAATCTCCACATTTGAAAGGAAAAAATATAATTTCATTGTATTAGTATTACTTACCTTATTCCTACAAAAGCCACTGTTTCAGAAGTATAATTTTCAATCATATTTTTACACCAAATTCTGTAGTAAATGAGCATCATTTCTTACTTATTAAAGGAAGGGAGAGGTGCTTTCTTCAAGAGTTGAATCAGTTGCAAGGCAAGTATAAGACAGGAAAATGTTGCATTGCAAAAATCTTTGTGACCTCCCTAATGTATTGCACAGCTGCACAGTGTTTAATGCATACCAGGTATACAACATAGAAAGGAAAATAAAGTGAATCACTTGGCCTTGAAACACAGGTGTTTCAAACCATCACTTGTATATGAAATAATGGAAAACAAGTTTCTTTTTAAATAAGTTAAAAGTGGAAAGAAGCTTTCTAAAACCCCAACAATTACAGGAACCTGCAAATTCTAGTGCAACATATTTTTCTTTTCTTTTTACAGAGAGAAAAGTTCATAAAGCTGCTGGATCAATTGCACAATTCTCTGAGGATTGATTTATCTAAATACAGGGTATGTACAACATATTCTATTTGAGTCAACATGAGACCCCCCAAATTCTTTGCAACAAAAATTTAGAGAATTTAAGCTGTTTAACACCAATATTATTCCAATTTGACAAAAAGAAAAAACTTGGTATTTTCTTTCCAAAAGCTAAGAATGGGTCAAGAGGTTGTCACATATTCAAGAAAGAGTAGTATTCAAAAATTTTGATTAAATTGGTCTATAACTAGTCTTAAGTGGATTAAGTTAATTCATCTGGGAATTACCTTCACTGACTCAGGTAGTTCAAAGTGCAGTTACTGCTGTATTTTTTCTGGGAGGGAGCCTGACATCTTTGCTACAACTTGCATGCTAAAATCCTGGAAATGTTGAAAAAGTCTTGTCTCCTTGTTGTTCTATTTGGTAGGAATTAGTTTCATTTCTGCCTCATGGAATCTCCTTCCACTGAGCTGTGCTCCAAAGCCAGCCTTTCAGGAGAGCAGACCCTGGGTACCTGGCAGTTACCATTTGGTTCTGAACTCCCTCTCCTTCTCTAGTCCACTGGATCATGAAACTTTTGGACAATACCTAAGTTAGGGCTTTATCACATGTGGCTCTCCTTTCAGCTTCTAGGAGTGGCAGCCTCCAGGTCAAGGATTTGTCTGTTCTGTGGCCTGCTCTCCAAAACTGGAGGAGAAGAGGAATATTGAAAAGAACCCCAAGGCATTAGAGGGAATGGAAATTGCACATACTTAGTTTTTAAGACTATATCCTTACTGAAGGAGATATGTTCATGCTAAGATCTTTTCATTCTGAAGAATGCTGTGCAGACAGTATTGTAGCATGAGGCTGATATTTCAATAGTAGGAAGTTATTTAAATAATACTGCTTCACATCACTCTGTTAACCTAGAGATCATAGCAAAACTTGAATATATTATTTCTACATTAAGCTTACTACTGCATTTATGCCTACAAATTATATATGTGCCATGTAAAACCCATAAATTATTTTCATTAGCAGCAGTTTCCAGACATCTTATAACATTTTTTATTCCATCCATGTTTTGGAAATATCACAATATTTTGAATTATTCATGTTACAAGTGCAGGAGCATTATCAAAGGTGTTCCTACTCATGTCCAAGGGATGCTCATCATTAACTACCTCACAGGCAGAATTTGGGTAATGTGAACATCTCTAATCCTTCCAAGCAGCACTTTATGTTTTCTTTGAGGGTTTTTAACTAGTTGTTCAAGGATTTTACCTGCAACTCAAATTTTGCATGATTGCTCTTTCCCTGATTCACCAGGATAATTTTCCTGCCAGCAATTCGGAAAGACTCCAAGACCTGAAATCAACTGTGGATCTGCTTACCAGCATTACTTTTTTTCGGATGAAGGTATTGTCCTTTACTTGCACAAATAAATTTCCTGACAGAAACAAAAAAATTACCTTTTTAATTAGTTTAAAGTCAAGTCACATAAAACATTCTTAGATGAACTCATTAGAAGTAATATATAAAAAGGGGTTTGTACTGATATAATAAAATCACAAGTCAAACAGTAAAATAGATCTGATAACTATTTGCCTTAGTCTCTCTTAAGAATGAGATCTAAGTGGTCAAGCATGGAAATATTTTTGGAATGGAATGGTACACATTAATATTATTGAATGAAAAAAGAAAAACACAAAGCAACCTTTAGCATGTGACTCAACTGCATTAGGCAACTACATAAACAGAATTAAAATAATCCATTAAGTTAAAGTTTGAATTAATGTATCCTGAAATGGAGTAAAAATATGAAGTCTTTGCTCTAAATAAATAACTGTTATTTGGCTTGATATTCTAATTCAAAGGAAAGCACATATTATACACTTTAGTTATTTCTTAAATAATAAAAGAAACTGATAAAATGTAAAACCTAAGATTTAAAGATGTAAACTATTGGGCACACATGCCTTTTTCATCATATAAGTACTTAATTTAAATAAAACTTAGTGATAAAATCTAATTGCAGGTGTTCTAATGTATCTTTGAGCTAAATCAACCTTAATTCAACACAATTTTAATTGTTTTTATCATTGTTTTATTTGAACACTTTTAATCCTGTATAACAGCTCCTTTCAACACTTGGATATTTGTGTTCAGTCTAATTCTGACTTTCTCCCATTTATGAAACATTTAATTAGGTCCTGGAATTGCAGAGCCCCCCTCGAGCCAGTACTGTGGTGAAGGACTGTGTAAAAGCCTGCCTGGATTCAACTTACAAATACATTTTTGACAATTGCTATGATCTCTACTCCCAGTTAGTGGATCAGGTAAGGTCAGAAGGAACTTGTTCTGTGCTATTGCTCAATCATTATTGTTAGTTTGCCTTTAATAAACAGAAAGTCTTCTGGTGTTCCTTCATATCAAAGCACTCAGGTTTTCACTTTATCTATGCACGGAGGAGCAACATACCATAAATACACCCACAGACAGCTATGAACTCTAAAATGTTTAACATAAGTTTCAAAATGGACACATTACCTCATAATGAAGTCATCAAGTTGGACATGACTGTCAAATTGTCCAGGAGTTTTGGGGAAGATGGTATTTGATTGATTACTGTTAATTTAAGATCTGTAACAGGAAAATAACAGTTATTTAAAATCTAACATTTCACTTCCGTAACTTTTGAAAACAATTTTTAATTTGCTGAAAATGGTATAGTCTTTCCAGCCTTATATTTTAGTACCCATGATGCGTACTTGGATCCAAGCTTTAGTAACTGCTTTAAGAAAGCACAGGATTTCTTAATATTAGTCTGTCAGGTTGAGCTATCAATGCAAAATAATTATAGCACTTGTTGTGTTCCAAATGTCATGCAAAATCCTTGAGAATACTCTTTATTTTTAATATAATATGGCTATTCTATAAGTAATGTTAGAATTAATTACTGTCTTAAAGGAGCATCACTTCTTTATCATATTATCATCTGTACCTTGTATTTGCTTTCTGGATGGTACCCTGGAAAAATGGTAGTTCTGTGAGTATTCCAGCCTTGAACAGAATTAACTAAGTTCTTTGGCAAATGCACTTTTTTTTGTGTGTGTATAATTAATAAGAACACTCATACTAATGATATAAGACTTCAAATGAAAATTATTTGAATTTATTTATTTATTTAAGTGAAAGATATATCTCTTAAATCCAGAATATTAATTCCTGTGTTTTAGGAATGGTGATATTTGCTGTTCAACATTTCTGAAACGAGAATTTATTTTCTCATGTTGGATTCCTTTTCCTGAGAAAACTTAACTGTAGCTTTGAATATAAGAATTTCTCACCAGCACCAAAAGCACATCACACTTAGTGCTGATGTGTTTATCCTACAACAGATTACATTGTAAGCTGAGTAGGAGTATAAATTAGTGGAAGGAGCAGCTTCAGGCATCACATCTATTTACGTCATAAACTGTTCTGTTTTCTCACTAACATTTACTCTGCAGCAATTTGATCTTGTCTGGTAAATATAATATGAAGTGCTGCTAGACTGGGTATTACATAAGCCTGCAGTTTATCAGTAGATTCTAGTACTCAGTAAACAGCTAAAAGTGATGAAGTCTTACCTCTGCAAACCATAGTGGCAACTGCAAAAGATCCTCTGTACTCAGAAAATTCACAACTTTTTTGTGTGAATCCATACAGTCATTTAGCCTGTCTATTTTAAAATATGGTTTTAAAGTGCAGAGATATTACAGCTTTTCTGCTTGGTAGAGATTGTAAAACTTGCTTAAGTAAGGGTTCTCTCCCTCAAATTATATTTGAGGCAAAACGGGCAATGTTGTTATTGACTACCTGAATTAATACTACAACTACCTGTTGTTATTAAGACTACCTGAATTCTGCATCAGCTCTTGAGTTGTACAAGGAGACTTTGTTCAACATGGTCCTCTTACGGTTTCCTATCAGTATATCCGAAAGTGCATTTTGTTTTAGGAACACTTGAATATGCAGTTTGTTTGAACCTATAGCTCTTGAGGCTTTCCAGTGAGTCCAGGTGACTGGTTTGTGGTGCCACTGTTATAATAATGAAGCAGTAACCAGTATTGTAATTAACATTTCATTAGCTTTGTTTCCAAGCCCCTTAGATTAGACCAGATTCCACCATTAAGCCTTCCTCAGTACCCTTCCCTTATCTCTGCTGTCTCCCCATCAGGTGAGGTCCCCTCCCCTCAGAGGGAGGGAGCTCATCCTAGCCTGGTTCTGTACACAGGAGGTTCATGTTTTAGCTGCACAGCTGAGCTCTGGGCTGTGAGACTGAGAACTGAGACCCAAAGCAACAAGGAATGGTTCTTATGTAGGTCAGCACCTGCTCTCACTCAGGGGAAGGACTGGCAGATGTTGTCCTGCTGAGGCCTCTGCATGCTCAGGGTGTATCTGTGTGTAACTCAGGGTAACACCTTCTGCAATTGCTTTTGGCTGCAACCTATAATTCTCAGAGATGCCTGCCACAGTATTTTGAGAAAATATGCTTCAGGTCTGATTGTGTGGGATTGTTTAATTTTGGGGTGAAAATTGAGCAATGACTGTTAAAATTGAGGGGCTTGAACTGGAGTTTTTGGATATTTGCCACTGTGAACACAAAAATTCAATCACAAAATATGCTCAGCAGTCTCCAATTCCTCTTTTTATTACTCTCTCTACCTTTGTGTCAGACAGGCAATCACCGTTAAAAAGCTAATGTCTTGCAGCAAAATATCACCCCTGAGGATATTTTCTCGGCTGAAGCATTGCAAATGCTAACAGCATGCAAAAATGTCATACTACAGTTCCACACCAGAATACAAAGAACAGCTGATGGCAAAAAACCAATGACTACCAGAGGTAGTAAAACGTGATAGCTTGGCAGTCTCACTGCCATGTATATTGCTATCCTCATTATTGGAGACAAAGCCCTCTGATGAAGGACTATCTAGCTCCTTATGCAGCACATGCAGTATCTTCTCTTTTTAATTAATAGTTATCTGAGTGAAGTGCTTAGCTACCCTATGTTAAAAAGACATATCCTGGAGAAGTAGTTTAGGAAGCACTTTGATAGCTTTCTGACTCAGTTTACAGATATGTCACTCTTTCTGTTTTCTTGAGAAAACAAATTTTGAAATCCTGGCTGGTGCTCACAGAGACTGAAGTCCCTTCAATAATTCTTTTTGCAGTCTTCTCCACTGAGTGACACCAATGAAATGCAGACCATACCCTTTCATGTTATCTGAAGAGCTCTTGATCAGTACAAATAATTTCATGACTGATAGCACCAGTATACTGGAATAAAACACTGGAGTACTTTGTATTTGCCAGCAGCTCATCAGAACAGGCCTGATATTCTACCTGATGTTAGGGACCTTTACTTGGGTCTTATCTCAGCTCTGCGTGTTGTCGCAGCACAGCTTGGTGCAGACAGGAGGTAGGAAAGAGCAATTGACTCCTTCAGGAGCCAGGGCTGGTACAGCTGCAGCAGCACACTACTCTGCCCTTGCCATTCATCTTTCACAGGGGTACAGCACCTTGGGCTGGGTTGATAATGAGCAAAAAACATCCCAGATCTGGAAACTGGAGCTGTGGATGAGCACCTGGATGGGCCTATGCTATGGGAGCTGGCTCAGTTTTGCTTTACTCAGTTGGGAGTCCCTGGTCTTTGGGATTTGGGAATGCAAGCCTCATAGTTGTTTTTGAGCATGTACTTTTTTCTCTTTAGTATAAATGACAAAAAAAAAAAGAGGTTAGATTATTAATTTCTTATAGAAATACTGCAAGAATTGAAGCATGACTATGATCTGTGGTTTTCAAACACATTCAGAACTATGAAGTGGGAAATAAAGGGCAGTAGCAAAAGCTGTTTACTACAGAGAGTTCTATTTTTCAGGCGTGCAAATTTCAGTGTCAAGTAATAATTCTTGTGAAGCCCTTTGTTATATTTATGTATTGCTTTAGATTCACTGAAAAGGTTCTGGCATGCAGAGGGTACTTAGAGATCTCTCTTTGTGTTGCAGCATTGTGTTTGATGGGCAGCATGTTAACAACAGTAATAGAAAAACATTTGGTAAATTACCTCAGAACAGAAGGATGCATTTTATGCTATGGCATTTCCAACTCCATTCTGAGAATTCTCTGTCAGAAGAAGACCAGATCTTACAGATATAAATTCTTCTTAGCAGCTTGTCTGAGAACACTGGTTAGGAAGTCAAAGAGCTTGCAATAAGTGAGGCGCTCACTTTGATCTTCCTCCACCTACTCCCTGCAGTAGCAGAACTTGTCTGGGTGGGTGGGTCAGTATCCACAGTATCACTTGGCTGGCCACTGCAGAGAGCTATTCATGTTCACTGCCCTAAACAGATAGACCACTTAAGCCAGCTCCTTTCACCTGCCAGTCCTTGAAGGAAAAGGCTGACAATTCTTGATGAGAATTAATCCAAAAGGATTCTGTTCCACTTCAGATGGAATACATAAAGCTGCTTGGAGAAGGTGTGGGTGCCCCATCCCTGGAAGTGTTCAAGGCCAGTTTGAATGGGACTCTGAGCAATGTGGTTTAGTGGAAGGTGTCCCCTGCCCAGAGCAAGAGGAATGAAAAATACAATCTTTGACATCACTTCCAACCCAAACCATTCTGTGATTCTATGGTGATTCTTTAAATAGGGTTTCAGTTTCAAAGTTAACAGTTTAGGAGTTAGTTACAGTGTGACAGCGCTGCGCAGGGAAATCCCTCACAGGTTTTGAATGCATGTCTGCAAGTGGTTTCTGGCTTTAGGCTCTGTTGAGTAAATTCTGTAAGGCCGAATTTTCATTTTTTTAGATATTAAAAATATCTTTTAAAATTATATAAAATCCTAAAAATTGATAGACGTTATATGTGAGTGTCTACATATGTGTATATTTTATATATAGTGCATATTGTATATTTGCTGGTGGTTCTACATCAAGTAATATTATATGTAATGTAAGTAATAAATATGCAGTTTAAAGTATGGAAGAATTGTTAAAATTAATATTTCATTGTCCATGACTGATCTGTAAAACTGCCCTCTGCAGCCTTGTGCTGATCAAGGCTACTGTGTTAGTTTCCATTGAATTTCCACTGTATCATTATTTATATAGAAAATTTTGTATTCTGAAACCTAGCTTGGGGCTTGCTGGAGACAGTAATACATAACTTTCTGATATCATAGGATTCAATTTATCAAAGTCACACAGATAATAATGGATATTGATTGCACAGAACATAACAAAATAAAAGCAAAGAAAATTAAACCAGACATTCATCCTACGATCTGGTAAAATCAGTGATGGGAGAAGTTGAAAGCCCTATGTTTCTTAGACTAGGCTTTACAGATTTGTCTCAGGGTAATAGAGATGTAGATTTTAATCTTGCTTCACACTGGGTCTGAGATTGCTTTCTCCAGTCTCAGCCACTTTTCTAGAGTACAAAATGTTTGTTTGTCAACAGTTTAGCCCTTTTTTTTTTTCCATTAAACTCAGAAAACTCCCTCTACATTTTATTTTTCTCTTTAAGAGAGTATCAAAACACCAGTAATGATTTTGGAGGCTCTGTACTGCATAATCCATTGCTTGAATATGAATTTGGTGACTAGGAAATTGACATTAAAAGGGAATTGAGAAAAACATGATTCCATGCAAATAATTTATTTCAATTCATATCCTATGAAAAACTGTTCTTACACAGTTCCTCTTTCTGATTTTGATGTCTTCTGTCGCAAAAAACAAAGAGTTATCACCTAGTTTGGATGTTGCATTTAAAACCCCACAGAGAATCTCCAGTACTTAGTGTATTAGTGAATCTTAAGTGAATAATATGACTTTTATTGTAAGTTGTTTGCTGCCACTGTAGGGTGATCATAAAGACAAGAAGCACCCAGGTCAATTAATATGAGAGTATAAAAACCTGTCTTTTCTGCTCTTATTGCTTGTTTGATCTGCCAGCAGAAGCCCCTTAGGAATATCATTGTTGTGCCTTTGGCCAGTCACTCATTGAGCTTTTAAGCAAAGAATATCTTGTGGCATTTCATGGTTCTGTGCATGTGGGCAGCATTACCATCCAAAGTGATGCTGCAGGAGGTCAAGGTATTTTAAATAACCTTTCCTATGTGAAAAAGCTCATGGAAAAGAAAGTGATTCTGCTAATTGGCAAACTTTCATTCATATCAGTATTTGGAAAGGTCTCTTGGTTACTGGATGAGCAGTCTGTGATTTGAGCTTATTCAGTGCTGTGTCAAACAAAAACAGAAGACAGGAAACTTCAGCAACTCATTTATTTTAAAATTAAGAACCATTGATAGCATCAGTTTAATTAATGATTTTGTCATCTTGCTATTTTAAGAATTTATGTTACTCTTGAAATTTTTAGTTATATTTTTAAAAAATTCTCATTGTTATCATCCTCTACAATAATAAGCAGTATTTAGGATCTCCTGTAACTTTTCACTGTATTTGTTCCAGTGTGGCACTAATTAGGTATATCAGCTATTTAGTTGATGCTTTTACACTGACAGTTTCTTCCAAATGGGTGAATGAGAGTGAAAAAGAAATCTAAATTGCAATCAAATTTCCACCACTGTTTTACCTCATTCTAACAGCACTGCACCAAGCCAGAGCAGGGGTAGCACTGTCAAACACACAATGTGGTTTTGGACATTGCCCTGTGCAGGAATCCAAGGGCTGGACTCTGGTCCTTGTGGGCCCCTTCCAACTCAGAGTATTCCATAATTCTATAATGCTTCTACAAAGGCATCTGCTGAACATAAAGCAAATAATAGTGCTGACAATAATGAGGTAAAAAGAGCTTGAATGATTATGAGCATGTCTAACACACTAAGTAGATTTTAGGATAAAGAATGGAAATAACAACTAGGGATGGGCTGAGTATGCACTTTCTCTTCAGGACATAAAACTACATCTGTAATGTGAAACTATTTTAAAAATACCTTCTCTGGGACTTTTGTAAAGGTCATACAGATTTTAAAGAGATTTCTTTTCCAGAGAATTATGGTAGAAAGGACCTCCTTGTGCAACTATTACATTGTAAATGTAATACTTTTTGTTATCTCTGTTAAAGAACTGAATTTTGCATTCTGTGATTCACATTTCGCAGCCATGAAAAGCTGTCTCAGCTACATGTCACTTGCTGAGAAATACAGTTCTTGGATAAGATGCTGAGCTACATATGAGGTGGCTTTGTCTTCTCCAGCTGCCTTTCAGTTGGTTTGATTTAACAAGCTTCTGAGAAAAAAAATGGTCTATGAGACCTACATCTTTGATGTAGAAACAAGGCCTTTTTATTAAAAATCTAATGTATACCAGGAAATGCTCTTATGAGTGACATTAATGCTCTAATGTTCATTTCTGTTTTGCAAAGCTCTCTCATTTGCATGCACAGTTGTTAATTGTTGATGACACCAGACCCACCATCCTTTGACCTCCTTCTGAGCTTTATTTCTGTTGCTTTATACACTGAGGTGGTACCCTTTGTAGATCATCTGAGTATGCAGCAGTGTGATTAATGATACATGTCTAAAATATTCCACAGTGGCCACAAAAACAGTTTCAAATAGGTGTTGTTGAAATTCCCTTTCTGCCATTCTAAATGCTGTTCATACATAAAAGTCAATTGGGGTTAAATTAACATTTAATTAATTCACTGTGACACATGTATAGTGTTAGGCATATTCAAAAAGATACCAGGTCCATTGAAGTGGTCATAGTTGGACTAGGAATGAGAAGTACAGGGAATATGTGTTTAAACTTGCAGGAGTACAGGCATGTTTATTTTCTGACTTACTAGCTGAGACCCCTTTCAATCTCACACAGCAGTGTAGAAGAGCATGTGTAGATCGAGCCTGTGCAGACATAGCTCTGTGTGGCAGAAATTATTCATGTATGTGGCCATACAGAATTAAAATATTTCTGTTCATATTTGGGTCCCTACAATGAAGTTATTTATTGGACATTGATGAGGAATCTGATCCTTCTGCCAAGCAAAGGAATGCAAAATACTTGTTTAGTATTTTAGGACTAAAATTTTAGGAAATTTTAGGTTAAGAATTAATAAATAAAAATTGTAGAGACAAAGTCTGTCTGTAAATGCATATTGTAGTAAAATTAAAGAATATAAAATTCTCAATAACATAAAGGGAAATTCAACTGCTTCTTCATTTAGATCATACATCAGAAGCAGCTGCTAGGCTGAATACCTTCAGCATATAATTCAAAACAAAACATTAAATACTCCTCAGCATTGATTTTTTTGAGTCTTTATTGTGTTGGGTATAAAAGTTCTGCCTCAACAGGCAATTCTACCTGTGCTGAGTCTCAGCACAGCAAAGAATTTAATAATGTATCTAATTACAGCGTGAGCATGCAGTAAAAACCAAGTCTCTATTGATCTCCTTTGCTGACATGACAATCTTTGCACTATGGTTCTTAATATTTGTGCACAGCCAAGTACAGTTTTTCATATGTTCTGCTCTGTTAGTTAGCCAGTCTTGGTCCAAAATTTCTGAAGATTCTTAATATGTCACTCTTCACAACCAAGGAATGATCTATAGGTGGGACTCCCATAGTATTTTCTCTAATAAAAATATATTCAATGTTGTTTTAACAGAGTAAGAAGCAAGAAGTTCCTAAAGAAGAACAGGGACCAACAACGAAGAATTTGGATTTCTGGGCACAGCTGATTACTCTGATGGTCACCATTATAGATGAAGATAAAACAGCATATACACCAATCTTAAACCAGTAAGTAATTACTTTCCCAAAAAAATTAAGAATCATGGATTTATTAAAATAAGTATAAGAAATACACCTGAATTAGAAGTTATATTTTAAATGGATTCTAGGTAGAGATTTTTATACAGAATATTGTATTGACATAGATTGATAAAAACTTAGTGCTCTGATAATGGAAAGAAAATCTTTTGGTTTAGGAACATTAAGGACTGGTGATATATGAGTCATCTCAAAACTTTAGGTAGCAAACTATGCTACATGAGATATAAATGGATAGAAGGGAAATGTCAGTGACATTTCAGTGCAAGGCATTTTCAGTGTGATGATATTGATGGTATGGGAGCATCATGGCACACATGGTGTTCAAATCTTGCTGAAACTCATTTAGGTATGGTTTCCAGGCATGTAATTGTAAAAAAAAAAAAATGAACTTCACAAAAAGACCCTATCTGAATTTATAATTGGCTGGCCAGACTGACTTGAAAATGTATGAAGTGGAGAGCAGTATCCCAGAAATGGAATTTCACTTCTCAGAATTGAAGATGTAGCAGATGAGAGAGGTACAATCAATAAGCAAGACAAATGAAATAATTTAAGGTTGATACATGAGTAGAAAACAGAGAAACAATTGATAAACGCAGGAAAAGAAGGCAGTGCTAGGCTTTGAACATGAAATATTTAGAAAGAGTGCAAAGGAACATGTTTCACATATTACAGCTGGAGAAATGGGCCTGGAACCAATTGAAATGTGACATGATGAAGCCCTGGGGAAATTTTTTAGCTCCTTGGAGCCATTTTACAGAGAGATTGCAGAAAATCTGGGCATAGTCTGGCTGTGATGACTTCTGCAAAAGTTAACATTGAAACCTACATCTGTATTATGACTAAACAATTAATAGAGGTTTCTGCAATTGCATTTAATTGAATGCTCTGAAGGGGAGCAGGAACAATCTGGTTTTTTCAGCCAAAATAGGATAGATACTAAAAGGCACTCTATACATTGAGATGTGCTTGTCTGTTGATAAAAGGTACTATTCTATTTATGGCCCCACAGGAAAAGTGGCAAAGAAACCTCCTGGTGATAACCAGAAGCTGAAAGACTTTGAAAGTCATTGACTTCTGACTCCTTCCTTTGTTGAAATAAATTAAGTATCACTTCAGTACTGGATAATAAACATTTCTTTGTTAATTATTTGTTGCACTGACCCTATTAAGGAACAAGCTCTTACCCTATAGAGGAAAGAAAACACTTCCTGTTTACTCCATTTTTATGTCATAGTGCCAAGTTTCTCCATTAATGAAAGCTCAACCTTTTGTCAGACAGGCTATACAAATAATACAGTAAAATATATAATTGAGACAAAAACATGTATGTGATTCATTTCAGTCTCTTCATTGAAATTAAACAAGTGTAATTGTGGGTTAAGTATCCTAAACATTGTTCTAGCTCTATTTTTATACAAATTTGAGGGAGAAAGTAAAGGCATAAAGAACAGAGTTCCTCTAAGGGGATTAGTAGGTTCCCTGAAGTACAGATGAATGATTGTGTAAGATGTGAAGAGAGAATCAGGAGTGGACGGAATTGGGACAGATTAAGGGAGAGAGCTTGTGTCTCTGACTTCTCCCTGGTTTTTGCTGTTGTTTTGTAAGTGAAAGAGTGAACATAGGGAATAACATTTCTTTTAGAAGTAGAGACATCAGAAGTAAAAGATGAAGAGGCTCTAGGTGGAAAAAACTTGAAAAACTGTTCAGAGTTGCTTTGGATATATTTTTTTTTAAAGAAAAGCTTCTCCTAACGCAAAAGCAGCATGTAAAAACTGTTGAGACAGTAAGGCAGTCTCTTTCCCCCCGTTTACCCCAGAAAAGGAAATGGGTTAAAATAGATGAATGGGAAATATAACTTGAATAAACAAGAATCCTGCAAAAATATTACTCCTTATTAGAAATATATGGCTATGCAGTGTCTCAGTGGAGTATTCAGGCCTGCATCCATTTGAATCCTATTTTAGAAATGAGGTAACTGAAGATCCCCAGGAGAGCATTCTGATAAAAGTTTTCACAATTGTATAATATTGCTCAGAATTCTATTCCTCAGCCAGTTTTGGAAACCCTATTTTTATATCCACCTTAGAGGCAGAAATTACACTGTGATGGAGTAGTTTGAACTGTATCAGGTTATGAATCCAGATGAAACATGACATGATGGCCTCAGCAACACTGCAGCCGCTGACAGAACACACCAGACCAGCCAGTGGGAGTGTGGGGGCAACATGCAGTTCTTACATGACATGATAAACTTGACAAGTTTGAGGGAAAAACATGGTCTGGTATTTATTTAAGTTATAAAATCTTCATTCTAGTAGTTAAACAATGTAAATTGTGTTAGAAACCTGAATCACAGGCAAATCCAGGTCTTCCTGGCACTTCTAAATATCCAGTGAGGCAGGAGAAATTTCTATCAAAATAAAATATCTATTCTAATAAAAGGAACATCAAATCAAGGACAAAACCTTCAAGTTGAATATGCTTCTGTGTTTTGAAAGCAAGATCTAAACTTTGAGCCCCTGCCTTTTTTTTTTTTTGCACATATACTCAGAAAAGTCCAGTTGTCACTGTAGTATAAGTTTAAGAAACAAGACAGTTCTAATGGGACTTTTAAATTTGTTCTTTACTGCTCCTCAGATCCTTGCAGTGTTAGGATCTGTTTTCTCTGTGATCACATTGTGTTCCACACAGTATGGAAAGGACTAACACATGAAATCTGGAGGAGCAGATATCCTCATGCTTCAGGAGCTAGGATGTTTAATACCTCTGAGAAGTTGGGGATAGTAACTTATATTGTAGAAACAGCATAATTGTAACCTGCATGTCAGCGAGTTATGAAATATAGGCCAGTGGAAAAAAATTATGGAAGTGAAAAAATCAGAGTACATTCTATCATGAATTGGGCTACATCAGGCCAACTTTAGAATGTTTCTTTCATGATAGAAAGTGTATCTGATGTGGTTGTGTCTTGATGCAGTGATATTCCTCATTACGAATTACACTTTATTCTGTGGTAGCATGTGAATATCACTGATTTCGTTGAATTTGTGAATATTATCCTGTGAACAAAGCTGTTCTCATTCTTTCATCATATCCACTGTAGCTTCTCATGTAACAATGTAACACTGACAGACCAGGTTAGTTATCTGGACTATATACAGCACCTGTCTTGCCCATTATTTTTCATTCAGGGAAAGGAGTGTTAAAAATAAAGCTTTGGATAGATGGAGGATAAAGCACAAAATGTAAGAATAACTGAGCTCTTTGCTCACATTTGAATGGAATACATCTTTTCCAAACTCAAATAAAACTTTTGTCTTAAGAGTTAGTGAAGCAGAGGCCATGGCCAGCCCTCCACAGATGGTGTGATCTATCTTCCTGCTGCATGCACAGCACAAAACTGAATGTATTCACCCCCTAGGACTGGTGAGATTTTGCACCTGGATGAGACTGTAGCCACCAAGTATGGAATATGAGCTTTTCTGGGAAAGTCTGAGGTTCAGAGGCCTTGATGTTCTCAAGATGTAGCAGACAGGAGATTTGGCAGCACAAATTATGAAAAAGCATTTTTAATTGTCATGATAGAATTTTCTGGCGTTAGGGTTGAACTAGCAACATGCAGTACTGTCTGGGATAAATGCTTTGGGGGTTATATATGTTTCACTTATACATTGATTATTTTCATTTATTTTTTAAGCTGAGTTCATTTTCATTCCATTGATCTGTGGTTTTATATATTGCCCTTCATTAGAACTAGGCAATGAGAACTGTTTTCACTAAATTTTTGCTTAATTAAAATCAATAGAGTGAAGATATATGTGGCTGTCTTGTATATGCAATTTAGTATTTTTGGAAATACATAGATATGGTAATGTACAGGCAGCATAACTCTTCTGGATAAACTGAGATTTTATATAGTTCCAAGAATGACATAGAAATTGGGAAAACTATGGCCTGTGGGGCAGTTATAACTGTAGCAAGAGCCAGCTAAATGACTGACACAAGCAGAACTCTGCTGGTTGTCCTTTTGCTTCACTGAAAAATGTGAAAATACATGGTTTTTACAAAGATTAGAAAATGTAATGTGTAGAGATTTGCATGAGAAATTTCTCTGACATTTTGCTCCTTATGGATCAAAATTTGAAGTAGTTTGAAAAAGTTTTCTTAACTAAAAATAAGGTGTTAAAATACAAATAATACAAAATACCATACTTATATAGATGCTTTAGTATTTGACCTTTGATTATCCCTTCCCTTTAATAAGACAGCTGCTTCTGTTACCATTTATCTTTATCATGTGGAATGTCCTGTGTGGTTCCGTTATGCTTTGGCTTTGTCACTTCTCACATACAGTAAACTGCAAGGACACCCCTGGTAGTTCCCCTGTGCCCATGACTGGCAGCTGTGCAATGCCCACCAGTGAGAGGCATAAAAACTGGCACCAATTTTAGACTTCACCTAACTGAAGCCAGGTGGGATGTGTTGAACTAATTTAATCAACATTGATAATTGCAGTTTGTGTGTGTGTGTGTGCTTTCACAAGTTAAAATGCATGGACAAATCTATTTATCACTAATCAAACAAGTGCATTTTTATCAGGCCCAGCCTTGCCTTATGGCCAGCCTTGCAATATGCTCAAAAGACAGCGTCAATATTAAATCAGCTGTTAAATATTTCCTCAGAGCCACACCATCAAAGTTTAAGTCTGGTGCTAAGAAAGAACTCAGAGTGGATTGGAGGTAAAGAAGTTAAGACAGTTGAAATGCATTTCAGTTTTTGAACAGAAATTAATTTTGTGGTAATAGAATTAATATGAAGTTCTTTAATTGAGCAGTCATTAGCATAAAGAGGGCTCAGTGAACTGAGCTAGCAACTGCTTCCTATTAGAGTGGCAGAGCTAATGAGCTGTTTAAGTACTTTTTCTTTGCAGATATGATCAGGGTCAAATAGGTCTCTAAAATGAATACATTACTTAGATCCTACTGCTACCACTTTAAAGTTGCACATAATTCTCATTCTTTCTATGTCAACAAGACCTTTAAAATTCTTACATTTTTACAGAAATTATTATGGAATATTTTCTGAATTTGATTAGTGCTTTACAAAAAGGTCAAAATACTTTGTATCCAATTCTCTGCTAGTATATAGTGTAATAACCTCCACACAAAAGCCACACAGCTCTGTGTATTTCCTCATTAATACATTCCCTTATTTTATGTTTCCTGGTGAACTGTGGGTGATTTGTGTGGCTCTCACTGCACCCCTGTGCCATAAACAACTGCTTTACCCTAGTGGGAGATTCTGTGTTCTACTTTCTGCTCTTCATCTGCCTGACCTGCCTGGCTCTGCCTCTGTGTCCTGAGAATGGCTCTCATTAATATCAGTTCCACACCTGCATTGGACAGCCCTTTTTTTAAGACCAAAAATGTGACAAAAACACAATGTTGATCACTAAAATGCCAGCTTTTGCTAGTTGCTAACAGTGAAAATGGTAACTCAAAGATCAAGGATTTTCTTTTGCACTGAATAAGAAGCAACTGGGATCTATGAATAATTTGTGTAAAAGTACTTAACTGATAACAGCAGAAAGTATCTAAAAAGGATTTCTCAAAGATGACATGAAGCATGAGACCAAATCTAAAATTTTGAATCTAAATCTGCATTTCACTACTTGTTATAGTCTTTGTTATTTTATCCATACGTCAAGGTGGAAGTCTTGAGTGAATTGGATTCTGTGAGTGTATAAACCAATATAGCTTCACAGACAGCCTCACTCTTTTCCACTGTCAGAAGGGAATTAAGGAAAACCTGTGGCTGCTAAACATCTGAGCCAACTGTTTCATGTTCTTCCTAAGCCATCTGATTTAACTAAAGTTGAGGAATCATCTGCAAGATAGATGAATGTTTCTTGGTTTAAAAGTCATATGAAGGAAGTTTTTATTTGAAGGTTGGATGGTTGATATAATTGTTACAGAACATAAGATACAGTAAGTGCATACTAGGGGAATTATTTTGTGGAAATATTTGCCTTTTTGTTGGGCAGCTGTAACATCATTCTTAGCAGCAGGTGAACTGATGTCATGTGATTGATTGCAGGTTCCCTCAAGAGCTGAACATGGGAAAAATCAGTGCTGAAATCATGTGGACTCTGTTTGCCCAGGACATGAAATATGCTCTGGAAGGTAATTAGAACAAACTATTAATTTCACTAGTGAGTTCAGCAAGACTGATTTGCACTGTAAGTGATACCAGGCATGAGATTTCTTTGTGTGATTAGAGCTTTCTGGTGCACTTGTTTAAGATGTTTGTGAGTTAGTGAAAAAGAAGGGTTATAAGGAATCAAATCATTTCACTGTGAATATATGAAGTTATCTGTGAAAGAAGACCATAAAAGAATTGTGATTTGAAATGCTGCTTCTTAGATCTGATAAAAACCTTCAGTGTCCAAAGAGACCCACATGTGTTTGCTAGAGAGCATTGTAGATATTCCGATTTTTCTCACTAGCTGAAATTTCCTAACTTGCCCATAAGGAACATTTGTGGAATGAAATTATGGAGGAAGCACACACTTACAATTAAATCTTTTTGTGTTCAAAAGGCAGTATGTATTCATTCTAGTTCCAGCAGAATCAAATACAGTTTCATTTTATATCTTAAGATATTGTGGTTAACCATTGTTAAAATATATGGGGTTTTGCTATATAGCAGATTGTCTCCAACTAATAGCTTCAAACACACAATAAAATATAGTTATTGCAGCAAACCAAGTAAAAACACCTGCATGAAACTGGCATTGTCTTTAGTCAAGTCTGCTACTAACTACAGAGTAAGTCTAAAAAGGGTGAGAAAAAACACATGAGGTTGAATTTTAAAAACAATGCAATTCAACAGGCATAAAGGATTAAAAAACCCAAATATTTGAAGATACACTTCTATATTATTCTCTCCAGAATGTCTAATGGGATAATATCAGTGCAGTGGTGCCTTTGATAGCATGGCAGATTTTCATGATGATAATTGAAGTGAAAAGATGAGTGGCTAGAATGACTATTGGTGGAAGAACTGTTTTGTTCCTCTGCTGGTGTGTTACTTTATTTTGTTAATTGTGTTATTTGAATGTGGAACTTCCTTACTAAGCAGAGCAAAAAGGAAGGAAGGTAATGAAAATACGTACAAAAACAACAGAAGACATGAGACATCTTAGATGTGGGTAGGAGATGAGATGTTCAAACTATTGTTTCAAAGTGCTGTTCTGTAGTCATGTCAGAGTGAATCAGAAATGCGAGTTTGAGAAGGGATGTCAGGCAGATCATCCTTTAAGAGTGATCAGTGAAAGCAAAAGCTTCCAAGAGCTGAGAAATGTGAAGGCCATGTGAAAGCCACTGGTTTCACTTAAAGCATAATCCTGGTGTCATCAGGGAATCTTCTATCTGGAGAGGCTGTCAGTCAGGAGCAGCTATCAGAAAACTGCTGTTCAGTAACTCAGTGTTGTGATTCCCTTACCGATAGCACAGATTACTGAGGATTTCTAATAGTCACCAACTGCCACGACTTCATGACCTTGGGTGTGTAGTTATACTCTGCACATGGACATCCATCCACATGAGCACCCAGGGCTTTAGCCATTGAACTATAAACATTCTGCACTGCAAAGAAATAATCCACAAAACATCACTGACTCTATTTGTTCATTAGAGCACACTGATCACTCAAAAGGCAGCTTCAGAACAAGTCGTGGCTTGTTTATTGGTTGTAAAGAATAGAACAAGAAGCTCATAAGAAAGACTTAATTGTACAATATATAAAATGTGGATGTTAGGACTGAATCAGGATTTTAAAATAAATTTTAATGTTAATATTAATCCTTATTCTGCAGAGAGAAATGTAGAAAGCATTTGACTTTTATGTTCCAGACCAGCCCCTGAATGTGGTCTCATTTCTGTGTTGCTGTGGATACTGACTTTCTGAGGAGAGTAAATGCCATTGTTGGCATTAGGAATTCTAAACTGCTCCCAAAATCATTAGTGAAACAGTTCCTGCGTATAAATAATAATTAAAGGAAAATAAAATTAGTATAAGTTATTATTTTGAAATTAGTATAAATTATTATAAGTATACAAAATTTCACCTTCTATGATTTCATTCCTAAGCAGGAACCTCGATAAATCTAGTAAAAAAATATAGATCAGTATACTGATCCTCTACCCAGTTTTGCTGGGATTTGAATTGTGAATTCTTTCAATAGATATTCTGCAAATGGGGTTTAACTCAGTTGTTGAGGGCAATAATATTTTTTTCTTTAGATTCTATAAGATTAGAAGCAAGCTCTTAAATATGTTCACAGTTGGTCCTCATGGTTTTAATGGAGTTCATTAAAATGCATTGCATTCTGCTATGCCACTCTCGCCTTCCAAGTTATTAACATAGGCTACCATCTGTTCATACCTAGTGTCCAGGGCTGTGATTGCAATCTTTCCCTACTCTAATTTAGTATTAATCTCCTGAAGCAGCATCTTTTGTGCTACGAAGTTGATTCCTTTCTGCATCCAATCAAGAAGCAATGAACTAGTCCAGCATTGTTTGCAAAAGGATTCCTCATGTGATAAAAAAGATTGGATTAGCTCATCCAAGATCCTGTTTCTGGTTTTACCCTCTTTTTTGTATTCACAAATATATCCAGCCACACCCATCAGTTTAAATTCAGGAACCAGCAAGACAGCAAAAATTGGAGCATCCACTTTCCATTGTTTTTCCCTTTTTCCTGAGCGCAGTTCAAAATGGCTGTTCAGGCTCTCTCCTCTCCCTGTAGAGCTGAATCCCTCCTGGATCTGCTCAGGGAGTGTGTGCACTGCAGGGCTGCTGCTCTCCAGCAGTGCCCTCTGCCCACCTCCTCTTGTAGAACAGCCCAGCAGCCCAGTGAGAGGCACCTGCTGGCACCACACACCCTCTGCCCCTCTGCCTTCTCTCCTCCCTTGGTCCTTGGAGGACACCCCAGCACGGAGGCTGCTGCTGTGGCAGGGAGAGGTGGGGGGAGAGCAGCTGCCATGGCAGAGGCCTTTGGCTAGGGAAGAGCAAAGCCACGTCTCTGAGAGTACCAGGGCACTAAATGGCACTGGCAGAAGTGCTCAGGGCTTTGGTGAGGGAGGAAAGGCCATCCCAAAGCACAGTTCAGTCTGCACAGCTGCCAGGATCAGGGCTACACTGTGCCAAGCTGACATGCCTTGGAAACAAAACTATACTAAAATCTGGTATTGAGTTCATAATTTCATTCTAGATTTTCTTCCAGTTGAAGTTAATTAAAATGTTTAGCCTTTGGATAGTGTTAAAAGTTTTATGCAAACTTTAACAAATTGAGTTCACACTAGTTATATTCCTTTTTTCTGGTTTAATGGATTATTTTCATGTGTAGATTTTGCATGAAAAAGGTATCACATGCTTCTGTTTGAGTGTTGTCTTATTAGATTTTGGTCTCTTTGAAGTTTTTGTTCTTCTTTGCAGGCTGTCCATGAAGCATCAGTGGTTTGCATGATACATTACAGATTGTTGTTTGGCATTTAGTTTACACAAACATCTGATCTTATAGGATGGTAATATTTTTGTACTCTCTGATCCCCCAATTATTTCATATTTATGCTGCAAGAAAATGAGAACAGAGAGAGAGTTTTACCAACAGTGCATATGATTTGTTACTGATTTCATATGGTAAGAAATCTTTTTCTGTACAAGTATGAAGATGCAAAGGTTCAAAGATAATGAGAGAGTATAAGCTGAAATTATACATGCAATTGCAAAGTATCTTTTTTAATTTTTTGTCCTCAGAAATTTCTTTTCTCATATCTTTCAGATCTCTAACTTTTGAATAGGTCAGATCAAATGTCTGAAACTATCCAGTGTTTTAGAAAGAGAACATCCTAATTGCTGTTATTATGATAATCTAATTCTGGTAGTGGCCAGAAGTCAAGACCAGAATTAGGCGAGAAATTAGATGGCTGCTGTGTAAATAACAGCAACAGACAGTCTCCATCCTGCACAGCTAAGATGCTAAAGGCCTTATAAAAATAGGAAAAAGAGATTGTCATTCCATCATTTTATGCATTTAATTTAAGTTTGCTTTTCAAGTTTGCTGTTGTCTTCAGTGCTTAAGGAAATATTATTTTCCTGATTCTCTGACAGATACTTCATCCATGACAGAAACTGATGAAGTGATTTGAAAGAGAAGAGGCAGGTCCAGGAGTTGATGCTGAGCACAGAGACAGCATAGAAAAAATCCAAAAAAGGCTAATGCTGCCCAGAGAAAGGTCACGCCATTTGGTGGCAGATTTCAAGTCTATTTTCACTCTAAATTTACAATTTACAAAGTTCTCCTTAAGATGGAATATAGTGTTGGTTTAGAGGGAGGCTACAGAGGTGAGGGAAGGTGAGACTAAGGTTTTGTAAAAGACAAGAAGGCAGCATCCACAAGAATGCAGGATGTCATCACTATCAAAATATAAAACCTTTTTATTTTATTCAGTCTCATTTCTGCATTGGCACTTATCTTTTCAGACACCTGAGGAATTAAGAGTCCTCTATGGCGACTCAGAGAGTCTGTGAAGGCAAAGTCAAGGAGATTACAGCTGGAGTTAGACCTTCCTTTGGCAGATAAGATAGCATGTTGCTGTGATTAGAGGAAGAGGGGAGTTAGAAATGTTCTTTACTCACCATAACAGACAGGGATGTTGTTAACAGCAGGTACACTCTGTACATCCTGAGGGGCTGAGCTTCCTAAGTATGAGAATCCACCTGTCAAGGGCAAAGCAGAGCTCTCCAGGCTTGCCCAGAAAGCACCACAGCCATGCCAAATGACAATATTTTTCTGGCATTTATTAGACCCAGTAATTAAGACAGATGAAATGGACAAAACTGCTCCCAGGGGCTGAGTTAATACTTCTTCATATTATGCTGTAGCACTGTATCATCTTGCTTGGAACTACCTCAGAGAACTCTGATATGGCAAAACCTTGCAGTTGAGACTGTTATATCTATAATTTCCTTGTTCTCTAACCCATTTTCTTGGATTTTACACATTGAACCACCATCAGAACAATGTACCACAGTACAAGTCTACAGTAATCTTAGTAAGTTCAAGTTTCTCTGTCTCTGTCTGTAGGTGTATTCATGGTGCCAGATTTGCTAGAAAAAA